AAATCACGCACCGGTCTCAACAGATTTGTAACACATCTGTTGAACGTTGCAGGGGCATTGCTCAGCCCCTGTGGCATCACTAGTCACTCCCACAGCATACCGCTGGGGGTGATCACTGCTGTGTACGGGATGTCCCGTTCACGCATGAGGATCTGATAGAATCCATCCATCAGATCCATGGACGAAAAGATGGTATTATTTGACATACCATCTATGATTACGTCCTTCCTCGGTATCGGCGTCTGAGCCGGTACCGTTGCAGCATTCAATTTGTTGAATGCGTGCACTATCCGCCATCCTCCTGTGGCCTTTCGCACACAGAAGGTCGGAGAGCTGTGAGGGGATGTTGATTCCCTCACATGGCTCGCTGCTAAGCGATCGGCAAAGAACTTGTCGATCGCTAGTACTTGTTCACGAGGCAGTGGCCACTGCTTCATGACACAGTACTTCGATCCCGGTCTGAGCTCGATCTCGTGTCGAGTGCCTTTGTCCTTAGGCAACTCGCAAGGTATGGATTCAGGGAATACGTCCTTGAATTCGATCAAATCCTTATACAAAGGATTTGTCTGAAGTGACTCCCAGGATTGAGACGCGTATCGCTCAATCCGAGTCTTCTCATCGAGGACACTTTCGTCCATCGATGAGCTGCTGAGAATCCGTTCGTTCTCAGCAAATACTGTGGCCGACCGAATATCGGACACATACTCATCCTCTGTGACGAGTATGCAGATCTGCTTGACTTTGCCACTACTCAGATCACGCAAGAACCGTTTCGGTTCCAGCGTTGCCAACTGAGTTATCTCCGAAGTTATCTTCGGAGGCACAATCAGATCGAGTGTATAAGCACCTAAACTTGATCCGTCATTGACCAAGACGTTCAACGTCTCGGTTTCTTCCTGGAACTTGCTTCCACAGGTTGCTGAGGACCTGATCCCTCAGCAAGTGACTCTTGAGGAATTCCTTCCTCAAGTACGTGGGGGCTTATTCCCTCGACGTCTTACGACTGTGGCTGTGCAACCACAGTCAGGCACCGATCCTCTACGGTCGACTCTCCAGTCGACCTAGGATTTCCATGTTGCCCTTTGGAGGAAACAGGCTTCTTTTGTCTAAGATGCTGCCCGCTAGGCATGCATCCATGTACCGTTCCACTCGACTTATTCGAGTGGTGGACCTTCGGCGCCGCCTGTACCTCTGTACAGCCGCCGGGAGCTTGCTCCACAGTGTAGTGATCAACTACACTGTGATCTTGTGCAGTCGTGCTAACGACCGTACCGCAAGTGAGGCTATCGCACTCACTCGCAGAACATCCACACGCTTGTGGACGCTCCAAGATGTTCATCAGATGGCCATCTGATGAACAAGCGGCAGGCATCTTCGCGGATCGATGCTGCCAGCTCACCCTTGGCTCGTACCATCTGAGCCAAGGTAACCCCAGGATGACATCAAATTTGTCATCCAGATCCAGTACGATGAAGTCATCATCGTACTGTTCGCCCTCTAACGTGTAGTGGATTCCTACTACACGTTTTTCAACGGTAATCGATGCGCCTGTTGCAAGGCGCACCGTCATCCTCGTGAGGGGAATGTCGCGCTCAACGAACTTGAGCCTACGACCCTCTAGTGACTGGCGTCGAACAAAGTTGTTCGACGCCCCACAGTCTACTAGGGCACGAAGTGACAAATCATTTGTCGCTTTCAACTTCAAGGTGATGCGCGAAACGTCATCACCAGGTGCAGAGACACACAATGATTGTGTATCTGGAGCAACTTTCGTCAAGAGATTTGCAAATTCTCTTGAGGTTGCTGGATCAGTAGGGCGATCCGCCTCTACTGACCCCGACCATTTTTTGATGGTCCGTCTCGCTGTTGCGGCTTCGCAACAGCGCTGGACCCACGCCCATTGCCCTTTCTGGCAAAGGGTCGTCCATTTCGCTCAGTACTGTTTGGTACTGGGCGTGGAGCACTACACTCGTATGCGTAGTGCCCTAACTTCTGACAGCGATTGCACTTCTGCAATCGCTTGTTGTTTGAAGAGCGAGGTCTCTCGCTCTCAACATACCAGAGGTCCATTGGTTCTGAACCTCCGATCTCTTGTCGTCCCGGTGGACGATAAGAGTTTGAGCTAGCATGAGCCTGTCTCATGCTAAAGTCTTCCTGTTCCGCGGCTGATATCGCTTCTTCAAGTGTATTCAGCTCAAGGCGGAACAGGTGGATCCTGACGGGCCCTTCTGCGAGCCCTTGCATGAACACCGTAATCAACGTGTGTTCATGGACTGGGTTGGCAGTTATACTACTTGCAAGGAGTCGTATATGTTGAGCGTAAGAGTGCACATCACGCTTACCCTGCTTGAGTTTCAGGAGCTCTGAACGAGCCCTGAACTCAGCCCGTGGCGGCTCAAACGTTTGTCTGAGCCGGGACTTGAAGTCATCTAGCGACCTAAACACATTTGGGTCGCTACTCTCGAGCCCCAGGAACCAAGTTTTGGCACGCCCTGCCAAGCGGGTTTGAGCAAATGTGAGTTTCATTTGCTCATCTTCGACGCGACGAGCCCTTAAGGCTCTGTCGAGTTCGACAAACCACAGTAACAGGGGGTCTTCCGGGACTCCACTGTACTTGGAGATGTAAACTTTCATGACCTCGGACGACGCACATGCGCCGTCCCGCCCACAGCAGCATGGAATTGCTGCTGTCTCAACTGCTCTGTCTGTTGAGAGCCTTGCTGGTGAAGCAAGGCTACCTTCTCCCTTTCGGCGACAAGTTCATGTTGTATGAACTTGGCTATAGCGGCATGCTGTTGGTCTCTGTCTAGAGACTCCAACATGGCGCTAATGGCGAAATCGCCTACGGTAGAACTCATTCGTTCTACCGCACCCCATTCGATGTCACTCAAATGGGTAAACCCTTCACGCGTGACGTGAAAGGTCTCTTCATCATCCAACATGTTCATGTTGGATGTTGTGGTCCTTGGAAGGACTACAAAGTGCTACCAGGTGTAACGGGGCACACCCTTGCGTGAACTTAACGCAAGGGTTTCGGTGCGCCCGACAGACGTACACGAGGCAAACGAGGAAGCGTAGGTAAGGTAAAAGTAGAACTGGTATATTAATATAATTAAGTCTTTAACCACTGTCTCTCTGTTTGACTTAACTTAATTATACTAATCTAACTGAATGTATGACGACGTCTCGTCACCACTCATTGCGCGCGTCTTGCGGCGATTGGTGGGTTGATATCATCATGATATCAACCAATGAACAGACTCTTTGGTCGACCCATCAATATCACCACTATTGGTGATATTGTTAAAAGAATATTCAGCACAATATTCTTTATTGTCATTATCTTTAGAATGACAATTTCCATGTGGCGGGCTGACCCGTTACAGCTCCAGCCTCGGTTGACACTTCGGCACGCTCCTCCTTTTCGGTATGCCTATGACTGGCCCTCCGAATCCCGGGGTCGTATATCTGGCGTGAAAAGAGGTCACAAGGTCCCAGAGGAAGCTAGGATCCACCTGACGCAGGCGGCCGACGGGTTTCGCTGGTTCTTCACAACAAGGCTTCCTGAACTAGTGAAGGATAGTGAAGTGGAAAGGGCAACATGGCTTGAACAACTTCAGCAGCACGGCGTAGTGTTTAACGCTCATCCTCGACATCATCGGTTTCCATGGGCGGTCGCAGATGAGGTGTCAAATGCATCCATTCGCACAACACTTTCCCGTCTGTCATTTAAGCTTCACAAACGTCAGCTTGCTGTGGCATTACGACCACTGATGCAGCGTCTGGAAGCTGCCACCAGAACGGACAAATGGGCAGCGAGCGGTAGCGCATCAGAGACCGTCTCAAGTTTGGGACCATGCACATGGGCTCACAGAATACCAGGTGTGAACTTGCTATCGTATAGCAACCATGCAACCCGACCTTTACCATGAGAATCGTAACGACGACAATAGTTGTCGTGCACATCAAGCATGTCGAGGGGTTCAAGAAACACAGGTCCACATATTCTGGGATTGCCCGAAGGCGCGTTCGTGTTGGGCAAAATTAGTTGGTCATTCGACCGGTGAAGCTGTAGTAGACCTGTTTGGTACTTGTCAATATCTCGGCAGTGCCAATCGTCAAGCCCCAGCTATCTCACCACGGTTAAGACAACGGTTGCTCAAACGATTCACGGAAGACGCAGAGGCAGGGGTCCGCGTCTGGAAACGGATTTGGGTTCTCATGAGTACCATGTGCCTCACCCACTTATGGCAGGAGCGACCCGATGCGGTGTTCAGGGGAGTGCTGACCACGACATCGCATAGTGTCACCCGATTTTCGGAGTCAGGGATACGTCAACTCCTAGCGCTGGCTAAACGCGAACACCGAGGTATCTGTGCTGTCGTCCAAGGGGCTCTCTTGCATGCTGGCATCGAACTTTTACCCAAGCACCCCGAGACATCGGGGCTTCTCCGGGTAATAGTCACGAAACTCTTCCGGATCCGAACTTGATTTCCTGGCTCAGAAGCTTTCAGACATCTTGTACATAATCACATGTTAATAGACTGCCATGAAATCTCTCTCTACTTCCCACGCCTGCAACTGTGGGCTGTACCCATCTCATGTATGACACAAAGCGTTGCGACATGGAGGTAAACAAGCAGTACGAAACATGTAACACACACACACACACGTAAACACATTTACACACAGCACGACATCTACTGAGTCGACACATTGCATGTACACACACAGTATACAGTATATATATATATATATCTCGACATGCAACTGTACGCACGTACGGCCAGTCGGTCGTCACGCTTGACAGTCCACAAACACGACGACAACGCCATGAACAGCTCGTCAGCACAACGTCAACGTCTCCGTCTCCTCTCCACTGCCAGCGATGGAGAGCACGTACGACCCACGTGACAGTCCAATGCCCGCAACAACAGCAGCAACAATGAACACTCCTTCTCCCACACGAATGCCACAAAGACGAGAAGCGGCCTCGACCTCTACGCTGCAAGAGACCCGCGCGGACGCGACGCCCCGGGACTATTGCCAGTGCTCTTGCGCTCGATCTCGTCCCACGCACAGCCAACGACCCGATCGAGGAACGCGTCCGACCACTTGCCACTGCTGTCTCGAGCGCCGTCTTTTTGCTGCTTGGCCCGCTCGTCAAACACGTTGCTGCACGTGGTACAGACGCGCTTGCGCGTGGAGCGCTCGTCGGCCATGTTCCGGTCCATGTGACCGATGAACGTGCTCGGGAACGCCTCGTGGTCCACCGACACGTGCGAGCAGCGCCCACACACGAGACGACCGCAGTGGCGGCAGTGGTGACGACGGACGCCAATGCCAATGTGGCTGAACGTCCGGAGACAGCTCATGCAGCTCTTGTGGTCGTCGTTCGGGATCCACACGGGCGGGTACGCGATCTTGCTGCAGAGTTGGCGGAGGACCTTTGGCTCGGCCTTGTCAAACACAGTGCGTCCGTGGCCGTCCTTGACATCGAGCCGCGCGCCGTGGCGCACGAGGCGGTAGGCGATCTCAAACAGCTTGAGGTCCACGGCCTTGTGCAAGAGCGTGCTGTTGCCCAGCGCACCGTTCGGGTCCGTCTTGTGCTGCAAGAGCATCTCCGTGATCAGCGGGTCGTCGCGCTTGGTCGTAATGAGCTGCACGGCCAGCGCAGTCTGGTGGCGGCTGTTCACGCGCGAGGCGTCGGCGCCGTGTTCGAGCAGGTACTTTGTGATCCGACGCGACTTGGCCGCGGCCAAGTGCAGCGGCGTGTTCAGGCGGTTGTCCACGGCGTCGATCAGCAAACTGCGTGTCTTCTTCCCACAGAGCACCTGCACCGCGTGCAGCTGCCCAAAGCGCACGGCAATGTGCAGGGCCGACTGGCCGTGCACGGCGTCGCGCTCGGCCACGTTCGTGCTCCGGTCCTGCAGGCAGCTGCGCAGCAACGGCAGATTGCCCGCCTTGGCGGCCCGCAGGTAGTCCGAGAGTCCCTCTTCGATGACGCGCGGACCAACGTGCGGCACGGAGTCGCGCGTGGGCGTTCTCCCGGTCGTCGGCAGGCCATTGCTCGAGTCGCGATAGTCGGTGGCGCTGCGGCGGGTTCCAGCGTCCGTGTTGCAGCCCACGTCAAACGTGTCGGGCGCTAAGCTGTCGCGCGCGAGCATAGCCGTCTTCACGTCCTGCGGCTGGAAGTTGCTCGGACGGTATCGCATAATGCTCTCGCGGTAGCGGTCGTTGGGGGCATCCGCTGCTGCTGCGGCCGGTGTGAGGTCGTCGACCGACACGTCCGACAGCTTCGACGACTCTTTCGTCGCACGGGTTGGCATTGCAACGTCCACTGGCACTGTTTGGTCCACTGCTGCGGTCGTGCACTGCTGCAGCTCTGCGTCTGTCACGAGTTCGTCGCTGGTGAACTCGGAGCTGCTGCGTTTGTCGACAGTCTCTTTGTCGCTGTCGTCGATCGACATCTGCTGCTGCTGCTGCTGCTCGTCGGGTACTGTGGCGCGGCCGGTGCGGTTCGTGTCGACGGACACGGCACTCGACGTCTCCGAGTCCGTCGCCGACCCACTGGACGCGGTCTTTTTCATCACACTGGACGAGAACGCGGGCTGTAAGCTGCCACGAGGGGCGTTCATCCACGCCGGGTCGTCCGACGCGTCGTCGTCGTCGTCGCTGTCTCCGTAGAACGGCGACTGCTGCTGCTGCTGCTGGTGGTGGTGTTGTTGCAGTTGCAGTTGTTGCACTTGTGCGTTGGGTACGCGCACGGAGAGACTGCCCCGCACAGGTGGCGCGTTGTGGTTCATGAGCCCTTCGTGGTACGGCATGTACGTCAGATCGAGCTCCTTGTTGCTACCACTACCACTACTACTACTACTACTGCTACCAGTGCTTCCAGTGGCAGTGCTGCTGCGCAAGTCGTGCATGGCCAAGTGACAGACTGGCTACGTGACTGACTGGCTACGTGACTGACTGGCTACGTGACTGACGAGGCCGAGAGAGAACTACTTGTGACGGGCTCTGCGATCGGCCAAGAAGGGGATCGATTCGTGCTACCAGAGCAGCTGCTGTCCGTGGCTCGGATGGCAATCACGTCTGTTTGCTCGGCGGCGTGCGTTTGTACTGACGCCCACTCAGTCACTCACGCGGCGAGTGGCGACTTTGTTGACGCGTGCAATGCACGCGCGAGAGCACTTTGCAGCAGACTTAGTGTCTGACGCGCAGCAACGTCTGTTGGTTGCAAGTGCAGTCGGTTGCTGCTGTGTTGCAATGGACACACACGTGGCGTACCCCGTTGACGTCGCATTACTGCGAGAGCGTTTCAACTCTGATACGCGGGCGCGCGTTGCAAGAGGACAACGTCCTATTGTTGTGCGCTCTTTTTTCTCTCTACCGGACGTGATAAGATCGAAGCAATGCGACGACCACATGGCGATCGGTGCTTTGCGCTGGACGATAATCGAAGAAGGCGATCGGTGCACGGAAGTGGGTCTCTGTCGAAGAGGTTCGGCTTCCTGCGCAAAGCAGTTGGCAGCGCGCCCCTAAGACTACTACAGTACTGCTACTACTACTACTACTACTACTACTACTACTACTACTACTACTACTACGTCCACTATCACCATCACAACTCCTACAACTGTCACATGTACTATGACCACTGTCACTGCAACTGATCCTGACTGCTACTAGTACTACCACTGCAACTGTCATCACTACTACTGCTACACTACTACTACTACTGTTACTGCTATTGCTGCTACTGTCACCACTACTACTGCCATTGCAACAACAACAACTACTACTACGTGACGTCCGGACAATGTAAAAGACTTGCAGTGAGCTCTCTATTGGTGTGTGGTGATACGAGACCCCGTTATTCGTCGTCTTGTGTCTCGCCGACGTGGAAGTGTGTCTGTGATTCGTGGACGCGAGCAATTTGTTGCTGTTCTTCTGCGCCATCTGATTCATCGACTGTCGCTCGATTGACTGACTACCTCGAGGTTGCTTCGTTGTACCCACCCGTGGCGAAGGCAGACACCTCACGTTCCTGTTGCTACGGTCGGCCGTCGAGTCTCTATCCACTTTCTGGCGTACAGAGCGGCGGGCAAAGGGAGAGAAGTGAACAAAGTCTCGAATGTATACCCACACACGGGGGCATCCACGCGATACGGAAACGAACACTCGATGGCGGAACAATGCAGTGATGGACCACGACATGACTTTGCTGCCGTCGACACGCAGTGTTTGTGGCAAGTCGATATGTATATTGCAGCCTTAGTACTGACCATACAGGTCCTCCTTCTGCGGCAACTCGATCTGCGGCTTCCTGCCTTCCAAGTGCGCGAGCACCTGCAGCAACTGGAACTTGACCTCCTCGTTCATCTACGTGCGACCACAACCAGTCAACTCGCCAGTCAGTCGAATAATGATCTCTGGTTGTCAATGCTTTGCAGCGTTCACACACATTCATGTGCACAACTGCATCTTTCTACGCACCATCAAATCCGTGTTCGTCTCTTCCTCGTTGTTGTCCACAAACTTCTTCAGGATCTTCGCTGCGGCTCCAGTAGTGATCTTCGTCGTCTGTCGCACCTCCATCTCTAGGCGTCGGTGTCGCTTTTGTGTCTCTCTTTCTGCCTACCAATTGTAATGTGTTTGCGTAAAGTGACGTTACGGAAGTAGCAATAGGTGGTTATGTTTAGCTGAACAATATCGTGGATAATCTTGACGACGAGGTTACGATATTTACCGCGCTCACAAAGGCCCCAGTCAGGCCGTTCGGGTTGTCAAAGATGATGATGATGACGATGATGACATTTCGAGCCTTTTGCTCACAAACTTCCGCTGCATCAACATGTCAAGTAAGAATGACACAAAGCCTGTCAAATGCCTCCTATTTACTGCAGGCGTCAATTCTGTGGCCGTTAAGCCCGTTGCCTTCGGGTAGTCCTTTTTTTGCTTTCTTGTGCGCATGACAGCGCTGGCAAAATACTTGTGAGTTCGACCTCATACGTGTCGTGCCAATGCTATCGGACAGTACCGAGTGCCTTTGCAGAAAAGTCGTCCTGGAATCTCTGTTTTTTTTTGCTTGTACCCTGTGCAAGTCAGCAACGATGTATCTGGAATGCCACCTGATGTCAGCTTTTAGCTTCGACACAAACGTGCGAGCTTGAGAATGGTCAGCTGTGACGTCGAAGGTTCGGCCACCCACATTACGTACCTGTGCACGTTGCCAACGACCAATAGCTCGCTGGCTGTCCTCAAGTCCACACCAACTTTACGTTCGCATGATGCCCAGTGACCATGGAACACGAAAACTTGTCGCAAGCTGCATGAGAAACGGTGCAACCAGCAGGAAGCATGTCCAATGGACGACTAGAACTCAGCGCGCCGGGCAGCCTCTCGAAGTCGACTGCAAGCAGACAGAGTATGAGCAGATGTGCTGCAACGAATGCACAAATGTCGTACGACGTTCGCAGTGCAGTCGTTGACAGCTTCGTCGGATTTCTCCTTGCAAACTCGTGCACACGTCGTGCCGATCATGACTTGCAATGACACCAGTTCATTGCCAGCACGTTGTACAGTGGCAGACTGCTGCGCTTCCACTCATGAGCCGACTCGTTGAGGCAGCACCGCACCACTCCACGGCAGACACAAAGTCGTTATATCCCTCAGAAAAACCACTTAATAAAAATTAAACCCCTCCTTTCGCTCGTCATCTTCACCAGTGCCTTCTTCTTCTTCTCCTTCTTCTCATCCTTTGGTATACCTGAAACAGTCTTCGAGAAGAGACGAAGACGGAGAGCGGCCTACCTACACATCCACCGACGCCGTCACTGATCCTCGTCGTTCTGTTCGAGTTTGGATCGTATCGGTGCCTCCTGCAGAAGCTCCAGACGCACTGACGATGCTGGATGTTGATAACTGTTTCGCGATGAGCGGAAGCATGCTTATCGTCGGCGAAGAAAGCGGTTCCATCCCGGCGTCTTCCGCGCTTTCGTCCAACATCGACAGCTGATTGCGTAACTCCTCGATATGTGAGAGCACCACACGCCGATGACCCTTTTTCACACCCATGTCAATGAGATCATCTTCATCGATTGTGGCCACTCCTCTCAGTGTGTCAAAGCCATCTTTTTCGAAATTTTGGGCGTATTCCTCCATCTTGAAGAGCTTAAGCCAGTTGTACACTGTCTCAATATCTATCCACCAACACAAACCATTTCACACTGAGCAACGCTTGCAGCCCGTATCTGCACCTGCATGACAAACGTACTTCTGCTTCGCGGAGCCACATGTTCCTCTTCGTCGCCTGTGAGACGGCCACTCTCGCACTCTGGCAACGACACAAATGACTCGTCGTTCGTTGAGTAATCATCATTGCCTTCCTCCCATGCCTGGAGATAATTAGCGAGAGAACTATGACCAGCTTCGAACGCACACCGCGACGGACTTTTGTTTGTCTACAACGGCCAATGGACACAACTCAGTCACTGCAACACCATCGTCTCGTATTCACAAACATCAAATACCGACCAGCGTCAGTGAGGAAAACTCCGACGAGTCTCGGGACTTCCGGATAAGCCAAAACGCACACTCCTTGTTGCCGCCAAGAGCGGCGCTGTGCAAAGCGTTGCGACCAAACTGCAACGAAACAAACACAACACGTATCGTCACGCATAGTTCGACACCGTTGGTGTCTCGTACTTCGCCTACCTTATCGGCGTCTGTCCAAATGGTAAAGTGCTCACTCAACAGCTTCAAAGTAGACAAATGACCAAACTCCGCAGCCCAATGCATCGCGTTTTTGCCGTTCTGTTGTCAAAACCAGCGTGAAACGTCAAAATCGGCTCATCGGATGCACGTGTACACCTACTCATGTCCATCATTACCTTGTCGCGCATAAACTGCAAAGGGTATGCCCCGTTGATCTCGGCAATGATGCGCGCAATTTCTTCGTCGTCCCCTTCTTCAGCGCCGTGAACAAATTTCTGATCACAGCGAGAGACAAGAGACATGCCACAGACGCTTTAGTGGCTGCATCAATTCAGTCAGCCAGCTTGCACGTGGTCCATACCTGCGACGTCTCGTACCAGCTCTTCAGAAACTGCACACACTTTTGCTTGTGTTTGTCCTTAGCAATCTGGTACGCCGTCTTGTTATCCTGCGCATTTGGTTGCGGAGATCGAGGAAAAAAGACATGCCGAACAGCTGGCCGTCAGTAAAACAATCACATTACACGAAAAGATGCCCGACAGGAGCACTGTACGTACATAGCTGGTGACGTGGATGTCAATGCCCTTCATACAAAGATACTGAATGACCTCCTTCCGTCCTTTCGATGCTGCCCAATGCAGACACGTACCACCATACTACACACAAGAAACGTGTCAGCACCACCACTCAATCCTCTCTCTCTCTCTCTCTGTATATACATATTGCCTACAACCACCTCACCTCATCGGCTGCATTAATGTCAATGGGACTAGGACACTCCTCGAGCAAATACGCGACCACGTCCAAGTGTCCATTGATTGCTGCCGAGCAGTGCGCCAAGCGCCCAAACTTGTCGGGAGCGTCGAGCGGCACGCCGTGCTCCACCAGCAGCTGCACCACCTCCAGATGTCCATAGAAAGCTGCATAATGCAGCGCCGTCTGGTCGTCGTGGTCCGTCGCGCTCCAGTCCACATTGCAGTGCGTGCCCAGCCACTGCACCACGTCCAGCTGACCAGCAGCAGCTGCCCCGTGCAGCGCCGAGCATCCATGCTGCAACACACGCGCAACATCACACCGTCAGCCCCGCCCGTGCACCCCTTGACCGCACTTGCTGCCGTCCATTGTACCTGGTTGCGGTAGTTCACGTCGGCGTGCAGCGTCTTCACGAGCGTCTCGACCTCCAGCTGCTTGCCGCGATTGGCCTTACAGATGAGCACGTCGCCCAGCGTGTAGCTCTCCATACCGGACGGGGCACCGGCGCCCAGTGGCAGCTGCAGCACGCGGTTCATGGACCTGTCGCGCGCGCTCACTTCGCTCGTTGTTGTCGTGCCGTGGACAACGACAGTCAATGAGTGAGGAGCGACTAAGTGCGCACGCGGTGGACGGGAGGTCGTAGGAAGGTCGCGCTCCGGCGCGAATGTCGCGCGAAGCAAACACAAAACGCAAACAAACGCAGCGCGGCAGACGAGTCGAATGGGGGGGAAATTCCGGCGCCCGACGAACGTTTGTTTCGCTGCGCAGAAACAGCGCACCACCACGGCCAACGTTGGCAGAAGCGACCGCTTTTTGTATCGCGCGCTTTGTTTCGCGGCGCGATGCGACGTCGAGCGTGGACAATATGGAATGTAAATGGTCAGACGGAGACGCACACACGTTTGTTTGTTTGTTCGAACGTGCAGGAGACCTGACGTGCTTTGGCAAATGTCGTGGATGACGACGGCCGTTTTTGTTGGCCGCCGCCGTTCATCGGCCATGGAGTCACTTCTGTCGGATCCCACTCGTTCGCCGCGTGACGACATTTCTCGCTATGGACGCAGTTATGGTTGACGTGAACGACGTGTGGGCCGTTGACTGTAGCGACATTGCAGTCGTCGGGCCGTCGATCGATTACTCTCGATCGCTGTCGGTCGCACGTAAACAATAGCATGGCGTCAGAGGGTCTCGACGGACAAGTCCGGCGTGAGGGAGTGATCCACTGGCGACCGTAGTGTAGAGGACGTAGCTCAGTTTGTGTCGCTGTGGCGTTTGCTTGCATTGTGATGCTGTGGCGGTCATGTGGGACAGAGTTGTCGTCTACAACGATACGCTTAGTGTATCGATGTGGAAGCGAAGAGTGAGGCAAATGGCACTGGAATGGAGCGTTGGCTGCATGTTCCGGCGTCAACGGTGGGGAGTACGTGTGTAGCAGACGACAAACGGGGGGAGCTACGATGTCGGCCAATCAACCGGGTGCATGTTACATGGGATCCTCGTAGTCTTAGTGCTGAAAAGGGTTCGTGCGCGGTTGGTGATACTCAACTGCAACAGCGAGGTGAAGTCGCCTGCACAGTTTCGGTTGGACTATCGTCGCCCGTGCAGGAGCAGAAAAACACGCTGGCAGAAAGCATTGGACACTGCACTCGATCGTGTCCTCTTCATGGTATCACGCTATCGAAACGCAGAGCGTAATGGGTCTGGCAATGCTCATCGACATTGACTCAGTGATCGTTTGGCAAGCGACGATGAGAAGATGGAAACAGCGAGGCCTGGGGGACAAGTAGCTGTATCAGCACTTTGCTTCCTGTATACGCACTAGAAGCGAACAAGACTTCTCATATGGGCTATCTCCCCACAGCCCCTTTACCGGCTTGATTTGCGTGATCCTCACAATGATCCACCCAAGTCAATGGTAACCGATATACACTCCGCGATAAGCAAAGCCCATACTTGTTCAATGTGTCAGTGACCAGCTTTCTCCCGTGCTTTTGATTGCAAGGCAACGACGACCGACGACTCAATCGAGCAGCTTCGTCTAGTCTACCAGCTTTGGAACAAGCGACGACGTAGTGACTGACAGCACATGCGCTTACGCCATCAAGTTCGAATCGATGCACCACCAGTCGTCTCGTATTATGGACCCGCAAGAGGAAACCATGTGCGTCTTGAGTTTTGCACTCGAGGTATTCGATCGTGGATGTTATTCATCGCGGCCGCTTTGTTTGTGCGATTGCGTCGTGTGTCTCGTCCGACATGCAAAATTCTCGCAGCCATTCGAGTATTTTGTGCATTCCCGAAACTGGGACACTCTTTTTTCGCCACATCGACCGATCATCTGATCAAAATCGAGCAAGAAAAAAAAGAAAGAGAGAAAAAAGAGAGATGGGGTGCAGCAGACCTGGATAGACGATGTTTGTCGGTTTTTTCGAAAGGCCTCTCCAACAAAAGAGACTGTGAGGGTCCATTTTTGCATAATCGAAATTTCGAGATAGACTCTGTTGCATAAATATGTGCAGCCTTTGGACACAAGTGCGTTCTTCCCGTTGCACAGATCGTGTCTTGCTGCCTCGCTCATGCTGTGCCAGCTTTCCATCGCTTTGTTTTGTGGTTGTATTGGGCAGTCAGCTGTGAGGAGCTGATTACGATAAGGTGCGTTGGAGAACATGTCTAGCATGTGCTCTCATGCGCAGCTTGTTTTCAGAAGTGTGCTGTGATCCTGCAGACTTTTCGCTTGGCCCATGCAGTCGATACATTGCGAGCTGAGCGTCCGCTACATTCGCGTCAACGTCATTTCCAATGCGAATGCGATTCGGCCACGTGCTCCACACGTTGTCAGTGCAAGCACATAGCTTCGATCTCCATCGCAGGGCCAACGTTGGATACGTTAGATAGATGACTGCTTAGTCGACCCACTTCTGTGGCATTCTAAATCACGAATATCCATCATCACCATTATATTTACAATCGACTCAACCGAAACGAAAGAAACAGGCCGAAAAACGACGTTCGCCAGCCGTTACAACCTGCCGAGCGTTTCAACAGTAGCAGCACACTGACGAAACCGTCGTCAAAACGCTGAAACCTTTTTCGCAGCCGAGTGTCTGCGCCGCAGCGAGTATACACACGACTTCCTCCCGTGTATACACACAAAACGACCGGACACAAGGCGGCCGGCCACAGACCGACCTCACCGCCTCTACCTGTATACCATTCGTCGACGCCACCGCCAACAGCTTCGACCGACTGCTCATGTCCATCTTCTACTGCGTTGTGGCCAACGGCTGCTGCCCATTGGCCGAGCACAGCAACGGCGGCGACCGCAGCATGAACGAGTTCGCGCAGAAGCTGCTGAAGAAGCTGACGCTGCGCCACGACGCGGTCGAGTCGATCGACTTTGACGGGAAGACGTATAGCTACCGCGTGGAGAACCACGTGGCCTATGTGTGCGTCACGAACGCCGCGTTCGGCGAGAGGTGAGCGCGCGCGGGGTATACGGACAGAGGGGAACGCCTGGGCGGAGACTGACTCGTTTTCTTTTCTCTCTGTGTGTATACTCGTGCAATAATATTGCAATAATATTGCAATCATGGGGCAATCATGGTGCAATAATGGGGCAATAATATTGCAATAATGGGGCAATCATGGTGCAATAATGGGGCAATAATATTGCAATAATGGGGCAATAATGGGGCAAATATGGCAGCTCGGCCGCGTTGTTTTTGCGGCACATTGCGCAGCTGTTTGACGCGCAGTTTGGGATAAGAGGACAGACGACGAAGCTCAAGTGGGACATGAATCGCGACTTTGCACGGACGTTGAAGCAGCAAATGGTGCGACGCAGCGAGTGGCGTGAAGCAACTGATCTCAAGTCGTGTGGGGTGCTGACCGACTGACTGACTGACTGACTGTGTGTGTGTGATACTGACTCTCTGTGTTTTGCTTTTCGTCTTTTTGTTGTCGTCGGCTCTGGTTTCTGTGTGCTGTGGTATGGTATGGTACGGTACAGGAGACGTTTTCGTCGACAAGTGGAGCAGAAAAGCTGCAAGCGTTGAAGACCGATATGGATAAAGTCGCGAGTACTGTCCATGAAAACATAAGTACGGCTTAATGTGTAGTTGAGGGATGCGATGCGATGGGCTGTGGCGCTGTGGCGAGAGTCGAGTGCTGATACTTGTGGCTGTCGGTATCTGGTGACGAGGAACAGCCAAAGTGCTGGAACGAGGGGATAAAGTCGAACTGCTTGTTGACAAGACGGATCAGCTCAAGTACGTTGCTGACTGTCGGGCGATGTGCTGTGGTTGTCAGCTGATTGGCTTTTGTGTCTACTGCTTGTGGTTCGTAGCTCTCAGTCGGCCGCGTTCGCCAAGTCCAGCACAAACCTCCGTCGTCATCTGTGGTGGGAAAACGTGAAGATGAGCATCGCAATCGCAGTCGTAATCGTGGTATGTGGTGGCTGCATCACGCGTGTGCATGCAGCAGTGTGCCACGTGGGTGTCGAGGACTGCGTGTTGCATTGCTGACGTTTCACGTGTGATGCTGTTGCAGCTATTCCTTGCTCTGATACTCTTGTTTCTCCGAAACAAGGTACGCAGGAGCGGTGATGCATAGCCGAGTACATGCAGGAAGTGCAGAAAGTGCAGAAAGTGGAGGAAGTATTTGTTGGTCAGGTGGCAAGCAGAAGCAGATGGCCCGGAATGTGGACTGCGGGACAGAGATCTACGATGGCTGAGGAGGCGTCGATCGCAGCGAGCTGGCTTGATGGTGTAGTTACAGGGCATAATGTCGCGGGTTCCGCGCCGTAAATGTGTGAGTCGGGTTGATTGATGATTCGGGCCAAGGCGCGGCAAGTCTCCGACACAGGCACCGCATCTTTATTCGGAGCTATCTGATCGTCCAGGACGTCACACACACCCCGCCACTGTCAAGGACGACTGGCACATTTCCGTGGACCAAGAGGACGACGCTATCCATGCCGACAAGAGTTTCGCACCATGACGGGATCCTATCACGCGACCATTCACCAACGTGCATGATGGCTCGACGTCTGTCCGCTGTGTGCAGCACGAATCGGCTACAAGCGAGTACAAGACTTGTCTGGACAGTGTCCATGAGCGCGAGATGCAACTTACCGCAGCCGCCACATCCGCAGCCACAACGTAACGAGATGATGAAGAAGCAGCTTTACGACCGACGAACGATAAGTGGAAAAAGGATGCAATACATGACGATTCGCTTCGTACAACTTGCACCACCCTGTGTTCTGCTTGGACCTGACTGGATCTGCAAGAGGAGCTATCGTTCGTGCGTTGACCTGCTTGTCGACTGTCTGGATCATCGGCCACGGTTGATGCCGCCGGCAGCCCACTTGCGCGAATGAACGCTGCATCAACGGACGTGAACCGATGTTGTCTCCAGCATGCAAGCTACTCGGCCGAAGTACGCATCCGACATCTTATCGAAGTCGTCGTTGGCAGTGTCTTCGGCAAACAAGCGCAGCAACAGACTGCTTTGCAACCGATCTGCTCGCGGCGATTCGTCAAAGGCGTCAGCGCAAATTACGGCAGCGCGTGACTGGATCGCCTCTCCATGAACCTTCTTGCCGTCCAGAATAGCGTCCGTTGTACCGAATGCAGCAACTTGCGTTTTCCTTCGTGCCATCGCCGACGCTGTCGTCAATGTCCAGGACCAACGTCTTGACCCACTTCCCGTCTCCGTTCTACGGTACAGTCGCTCTATGTTGCAGCGCATCGTCGTCGCTGGTGTCCGGACCTCTCACATTGTCGAGGCTTGACGAAGAAATGCGTGCAAGAAGTGTCGAAAGCACTTGGAAAAGAGGCCTCGCCACCCTTTTGCTACACGCTTTGCTTGTATTGCACATGCCGAGGCAAGTTGACACACAAACCAACCGCGACGCGTCCAGAGTTGCCATCCAGTCATTCTCCATCCAGCGACACGAGCGAGAAACAGCGTGCATTGCGGCAGTCCACCACCGTCAAGCGGTTCCACAACTCGAGCCTTCCATTGAGCTGGTGCTAGACCACATTTTCAATGTATATTTCCGATATAAACCACAAACCAACCGTGCGCTACCTGGGGGGAGTCGCGTCTTATACCACGTCGGGCAGGTGCACAGGCGGCGCAGCATTCATTGCTGCTGCAGCAAACGACTGGTTGTATATCGCCACTTCACGCTGGTGCATATACGAGTGGCGGATGGCAATGAGCCACATGGCGACGAGCATAATCGTCTGGAAGACGTTGGCCGACACGACGTCCTCTTTCGTAGGTCCCTGTCCGCCGTACGGATACCGCACGCGCTCTGTGGGAAAGTCCGATTCCGAGATCCGCACGGTCGTGTAAATCTGCTCCATGACCGTGAGAAACGCGAGCCAGACGACCCCCCGGCAGTAGAAACGGATCGGGCGAATGTCCGTGTCATGGGCCGCCTTGAAGCCAACACAGCCAACGTACACGCCAAAGCAGTGCACCATGAGCTCAATGCTGCCAATCACCGGGTCGGGCTTGAAGTACTGCGGGAACTCGTCGTAGCGGTTCATCGGCCGATCGGGTTCGTGGATACCCAGTGCTTCTTGCTCCTGTCGCGCGGCTCGCTGCTGCTGTTGCTGCTGGTCGTTCGCCAGCAACGCAAACTGACCCATGACTTTCATCGTGTAAATGATCAGCAAGAACGAGCTCCAGAGCTTCACCCGACGAGCGCAATTGCCCAGCGACGAGTCGAGCATCAACGGGTCCACGCGGCGAGCCGAGTCGGACGGGAACACGGCCGACGACACGACTTCGCTATTGATGTGCACGATCGCGAGGCCGTCGTCCCGTGCGCCGTTCGTGTTACTGCTGCTGCTGCTGCCAGGGACGTGGCCGTCGGCACTCAAGAGCTCGGGGTCCGGCGTGGGCGCCGTGCGGACAAACAAATGGATCGTGTGGCCGTCTTCGACTTTGTAGCTCTCGAGCGACGCGTCGTCTTCGAGCACGCGGCCGCGATAGATCAGCCGCTGCGACGCGACCGCCACGTCCGTACTCTCGAGCACGTGCTGCTTGAGGCGGCTCACGCGCCAGTCCAGACGACACGTAATGCTAAAGAACTTGCCGTTCAGGTCCAATATGCGCACGACAATCGCCTCCCCATCACCACCAGCAACAGCCCCACCAGCAGTAGCAGTAGCAACAGCCCCAGCAGCAGTAGCCCCTGTAGCAGCAGCCCCAGCAGCAGTAGCCCCTGTAACAGTAGCAATATCCCCAGCAGCAGCAGCAGTAGCCCCATTAGTCCCACTGGCAGTCGTGTCTTTGTCGTCGTCAGTGCCGCAGTCCTTTTCGAGCGGCGCCACTGCTGCTGTCTTGCGGTCGTCGCCCTGTCGCTCGTCGCTCGTGTCGCGTGTCGCGTCCTCTGCATCGTCCAATCGCTCGCCGCCGTCGCCGTCTTTGCGGCTGCTGCTGTTGTCGCTCGTTAGCGACTGCCGGTCGCCGTCGCTGCTGCTGCTGCTCTCGAGCGCTGTTGCCGGCGCCCGCGCAGTGGGCGGCGCGTGTCGACGGGCGTCGGGGCGTTCGTCCTCGTGGCCGCGCGGGACCGCCGCGTACCGGTCGCCCGCGGCGGTGGGAGACGCCCCTAAGAATCGCCCCATGTGGTCAGTCCGCGTCGCTTTGTCGCTCGCTTTGTGTGTGGGTGTAAACTGTTTCTAATTGAGAGGAAGCGCTGCGGGCGGTGTGCACTGCACAAGTCAAACAACAACAACAATAGCAGCCAAAGCAGCGACGACGGCTACTGCTGGTGCTATTGTTACCAGGAGAGCATTTCTATATTCGTGATCGATCCCTCGTGGTATCAACTCTCACAGTCTTTGCCGTCAGCATCGAGTGAGTCCGTCGACTGCGGGGTCCAGCGTAAGTGCGTGTTAAGTGCGTGCGTGTTAAGTGCGTGTTACGTGCGTGCGTGTTAAGTGCGTGCGTGGCACGCTGACTGCTTGCTATGTGTTGGTCCGTCCCTGGCGTCGGGACAAGTGGCGGTGGTCGGTCATTGGTGCAAAGTCGCTGACGCGCGCACGGGATTGGCTAGAAATCCACCCCCGCCCCCCATGCCCGCGGCGCCAGTCACGCGCGCGCGCGTCGCTCGGCCGTGGACGCTGCCGCAGTACACAGAGCTGCCGAAGGACGAGCGCGACATTGTGCTGGACCGGCTGCAGAAAGAAGTGGCCCTCGTGCCGACTACGCGCCGCTACAGCGTGCGGGGCGTGAACCACGTGGCCAGAGCCATTGCGAAACGCGACGTGGCGGTCGTCGTGTTCGCCGCGGATCCCGAGTCGCGCGCGTTCGGCCACGTGCCGCTGCTCTGTCGCCTGCACGACGTGCCCGTGTGCGTGCTGCACGCGTCGTCCCAGACGCTCGGCCGCCTGTTTGGGCTTTCGAGGCTCGCGGCTGTTGCGCTGCGGCGAGCGCCCGAGACGAGTGCAGCGACAGACCCACAGATGGACGCAGCGGCGCGCGCGCGAGAGATCGAGAGGCTCGAGAGCATTACGGCGTTCCTGGTGGCTAAAGCCAGTACCCGCGTGAGGTAGGCACACGCGGATTTGCTGCTGCACGTGTTGTGTGCGCGCTCTTTGTCTCTCTCTCTCTCGCTGCAGTTCTTTTGTCAGCCTTCTTCTTCTTCTTCTTCTTCTACGATGCTGTTGCTGTTGCTGTGGTGGTGGTGGTGGTGGTGGGGCTGTTGTTGTCGGCAGCGGCTGTCGATGAATGTAATGAAGAGGTCTCTTGCTTTTATCTGATTGTGTTGCGTGTGTGCGTGTGTGTGTTTTTTTTTCTTCTTCTTCTCCTCTCTTCTGGCTCGACGTTGTTTTGTGTATCTAGCAGTACTTGCAGCTGTCCACGTGGTCCCGTTCGCAGGATCGCACTACTGCGCAAGGTGTTGGTGGTCATTGGCACGACCGGTGCAGGCAAGACGAAGCTGTCGGTGGATCTGGCCAAGGCCGTAGGTGGAGAAATTGTCAACTCGGACGCAATGCAAATGTACCGCGGACTCGACGTGGCCACGGCCAAGATCACAGAGCAAGAGAAGCAAGGGATCCCGCACCACCTCTTTGACGTAGTCGACCCGAGCTCTCGCTGTGACGTGCTGGAGTTCAAACGCCTGGCCTTGCGAGCTATCGACGATGTGTTGGCCAGAGGCAGGGTCCCTATTGTCGTTGGCGGTACCATGTACTATACGCAGTCGATTCTCTGGAAATCGCAGCTGCTGGACGACGTGCCACTCAAGGCGTCAGTCGCGCCGCAGCTGCAGAAGCAACGACAATGGACACCGGATGCTCTCTACGCTAGACTGCAAGCCGTGGACCCGGTCATGGCGGCTCGACTGCATGTCAACAACGTGCGCAAGGTGGAGCGCAGCTTGCAGGTGTTTGAGCAAACAGGCGTGCCGCATAGCGAGCTGCTGGCACGGCAGGAACGGGATGCGCGCAACGTCGAGAAGTATTTCGACGCCTGTGCCTTCTGGGTGCACGCATCGAAGCCGGTGCTGAGTGAACGTCTGGTCAAACGTGTGGACACGATGCTGAGTTCTGGCCTGCTCGAGGAGATCCGCGGTTTGCGCGCGCAGTTGAAGGAGCATCCACCACGGCTGCACCCGGACATTGACACTGAAGAAGCACAGAACTCTGTCGGTATTTCGCAAGCTATCGGGTACAAGGAGTTCCAGCCGTATTTTGACGCGCTAGAGGCTGCTGCCGGCAAGCCGGACGATCCACAGGCGCTTGAGACCATCTTGGACTCGTGTATCGAACAGCTCAACATTGGCACGCGCCAGTATGCTCGCCGACAGCTCTCGTGGATTCGGAACAAGTTTGTGACGAAGAACATACCTGTCTACCAACTGGATAGCAGTGACGTCACGAAATGGGCCACGCTCGTGGCGGACCCTGCGATCGAGATTGCTCGCAAGTTTGTGAAAGGCGAAGCGATCTCGAGTCATCAGACCGTGCAGCAGCAACAGCCTGAAGCTGCGAAGACAGTTTCGCTGGAAGACAAGTTCGAGAAGAACTCGTGCGCGGTCTGTCATGGACGGGAGTTCACGGGCAAGAAGCAATGGGCTGAGCACTTGCGCTCCAAGGGCCACAAATTCCATCTCAAGCGGATAAAACTCCAAAAGGAGCAAGAAGAACGCGAAGTACTTCTCGGCAAGAAGCGTTGCGAAGAGGAAAAAGACGAGCTCGACTTGCAGCCACAAACCGATACAGAGTCATAGATGCCGAAGGAAGAAGTCCAAGCAATAAAATATCGATGCGTCACGCCGTGACCCCATCTTGCCTGTCAATTCATCATTACTGCTTGCGAGCTTTTGCGCGTCTCAAGTTGCGTTCAAGCTGGTCGTTCAGCACTGAGAACGCTCGCTTCTTGTCCACGCCAATGACCTTCTGCTTCAAACTAGCATCCTCTACAGCGTCCTTCCTCTTCTTGTCCTGATAGGCAGAGTTCTGCCGTTTGCAAAGCATGGAGGTAGCATGGAGCTCTCCAGCCTTCTCTGCGTCGAGCGTCTCCTTGAGTCGCTGCAGGGCTTCTATGTAGCGAGGCACCAATGTCTTCACATGGTCCTGCTCGAGAGGGTACGGCTTGAGCTTGTTGTGGTCAGCCTTCTTGAGCATGCGCATCATACCCTTCATCTGACCCATCTTCACCAGGGTCACACAGCGACCATGACGGCCAGCACGAGCTGTACGACCGACACGATGAATGTACGTCTTGACGAACGAGGGCACATCGTAGTTGATGACGTTCGCAACGTCCTCAATATCCATGCCACGCGCCATAGCGTCTGAGCACACGACAGTGTCCACGCGTCCTGCTTTACAATCTGCCACCAAAGCTGACCGCTGTTTTTGCGACAGGCTGCTCGAGAACTCGCGAACACGTTCCGGCCGGGTCGAGTACAACTGCAGCAATCGTGCTAAGCGATGCGTAGAGCTCACACTTGCCGTAAAGATAATCGACAACGAGCTGGCAAACTCGCTCAGCAGTTCCAACAGGATCAGCGGCTTCGATCCAGTGTCACACTCAATCCAATATTCGTCTAAATTCGTCGGCGTCGAGTACCTCTTTGTCGAGCTCGCTCCTTCCTTCGCTTCGTCATTGTCCGAGTCACCAACAACGGTCTGCTCGGCATTGTCCGCCAGCGGGTCATCCACGCGTCCAATCGTAGTCAGCTCTGCATGACTCATCCCAATAGCTGCTAGTTTACGCGGATTGCGCGTCAATGTCGCCGACAACAGTACTCTCGTAAGCGGCGTACGAATCCGACGTCGATCAATCGAGTCCTGTCGTCGGCACGTGACCCCACAGGCGTCTCCAGGCCGTGCGCCATCGTCCACTTCGTGGCCAGCAAATACACTGCTGTACACCTTGGCAATCCAGTCTTGGTACGACTGACTCAACAGTCGGTCGGCTTCGTCGACAACAAAGAGCTGCAAGTGCTGCAGCGTAAACCCGCGCGTCTGTTCCAAGTGGTCCACCAATCGTCCTGGCGTCGCGACCACGATATCCACTGCACTCTGTCCGCCCTGCTTTGCGTCCTTCACGTCCCGTCCATCCGCTCGCCGATCGCCCACGAGCGCACGCTGTTCCAGTGCAAAATTGCTCTGACCCACCGCCAGTCCACACGTCAGTGGCGTGTGCTGGCAAAACGCCTGCACGACCGCATGCACCTGCACGGCCAAATCGCGACTCGGCACGACAATGAGCGCGCGGACGCGACACACGACGCGCGGGAGCAGTCGCTGCACTAGTGGCACGACGTACGTCAGCGTTTTGCCGCTGCCTGTGGGCGCCGAGATACAAACGTCCGTCACGCGGTCGCTGCTGCTGGCCAAGAGCTTGGGAATGGCGACCGCTTGCACGGGAAAGAACGATTGCACGTGCAGCGTCGACAGCGTGTGGACCACAGCTGGCGCGAGGCCCCAGCGCTTTGCGAGCGTCGCGACGCTGTAGGCCGTCGCCGCGTCGCTGTCGTCGCGCGCGCCCATGGCCAACGGTTTCGTGCGCTGCTGGCGATGCCGTGCGGAGCGCTGATTGGCTGCGCGTGCTTTTTTTGGGCTCGTCAAACAAGTGTCGGTTTGCTTTTTTGTGCCGCGCCGCAAACACTGCAATTGTGCGCAGGGGGGTCCGTGTGTACGACCAGTCGTCCTCTTTTGGCTCGTCGCTTGTCCGACCGCGTGCGTTTTTGGCTCGATCGATCGACTGGACAGCAACGCTCGAGCGCTCCTCGCTGCAGTGCATCTTCGTCGTCGTCGTCGCCGTCTCATGACGTCGCACCACCATCGGTCCGGGCCGCTCAAGCAGAAGAACAAGAAGCACAAGACCGGTCGGCATGAGTCCAAGACGCTGCTGGCACGGCGCTTGGGCGGCAAAGTCGAAGGCCGTCGGGTCAGCGTGCGCAGCACTGGCTCGAGCAACGGCAGCATGAGCCTCGCCGGTCAGAAAGCCGTGCGGCTCCAGCGCCAGAAGCAGCTGCGGGGCCACAAGCGCGACGAGCTGCTGTTGCAGCGGCGGTTTGGACTGGGCGGGTCGCTGGGGCCTCCGAAGATTGTAGCGCTCGTGGGGCTCAGTGGCCAGGCCCAGTTGGCCCACGTGCAGCAGAGTATCTTGGAAAGTGCTTCGGCCGTCGAGGAACCACTGGCGCACGACAGGACTGTTGTCGTTGCGCTCAAGAACTGCACGACGGGCGTGTTCCTACAGCACAAGCAGAAAATCAGTGTCGTCGCCTGTGGCTGCGACTTGCTGGTGGCGTTAGACGCCGCCAAAGTGGCCGACGTGGTCGTGTTTGTGCTGTCGGTGCACGACGGCGTCGAAGGCGGGCTGAGTCCGGAAGGCATGCAGATCGTGTCGGCTGTCCGGGCGCAGGGTCTGCCCACAACGGTCGGGTTGATCCAGGGACTCGAGACGCACACGGCCAAGGGCCAGGCCGAGCTCAAGAAGCTCGGGCACAAGTTCTTTGCCGCTGAGTTTGGCGAGAGCACGAAAGTGGCCATGGCGCATGTGCCTGGGCAGCTGTCGCGCGTGCTGTTTACGCTGTCGCCAAAGGTGATCCACTGGCGCGAGGCGCGATCGTACATGCTGGCGACAACGGCGACGTTCGTACCTGGTCTTGAAGCGCTGAACGAGCAGGGAGAACAGGTGAGCGAGTTGCAGGTGAATGGATACGTGCGGGGCAAACCGTTGTCGGTGAACCAGCTGATCCACATTACGGACGTAGGGACGTTCCAGTTGAGTCGCATCACTCGGGCAGCCACGCGGCAGGTGCAGCACGGAAAGCTGGACGTCGACATGGCCACTCGACGTGCTGCTACGCCTGAAGTCGCTGGACTAGAGCACGAAGTGGTGCTTGCAACAGCCGACCCGGCGCTGCAGGAAGACTTGCGCTTTGAAGCCGAGTACGACCCGTTTGCTGCGGAACAGACGTGGCCGACGAACGAAGAGCTGGCGGAAGCCGAAGCCGAAGCGAAGAAGCAGCGGCAGGCGGATACTGCAGCTACGAAGGGGGCTTCAGGGTACCAGGCTGCGTGGCTGGATGGGGAAGACAATGACGTCGACGCGGAGGACGGAAGCGTCCAGGACAATGACGACGAAGACGACTCGGAGGCGGTCAACCAGGACTTCTGCAAGACCGGCGACGATGACGACGACGACGATGACATGTTCATGGTGGACGATGATGAGAGTGTCGACCCGGTTCAACAGCGCCAAGACGAAGCAGAGAACATGACGTTCCCCGACGAGGTCGACACGCCTGCCGATCAGCCTGCTCGCGTGCGGTTCGCTCGCTACCGCGGCATGAAGTCGTTGCGCACGAGCGTGTGGGACCCGAAGGAGTCGCTGCCGATGGACTACGCGCGGCTGTTCCAGTTTGACGACTTTGCAATGGTCCAGCGACTTGCTCTGGCGCGCGGCAAAGACGCCGAGCGGGCCATGAAGGAGCAGCTGCGCCGCACGGTCAAGACGCAGCAGCAGGTCCGGTCCCGTGCGTCGTCCATGGCGATGGAAGACGTCGAGGAGGCCACTGCTCCGTCTTGTTCAGCCAGTGGGGCACTGCTCCCGGACGAGTTTGGCAGCATGGGCTACGTGCCGTCCGGTGTGCTCGTCACGCTGCACCTCCAGCGTGTGCCCGTGGCAAAGCTACAGGCGCGTCTCCACGCTGGCCCTCTGGTCATGGGGGCGCTGCTGAAGCACGAGAACCGCCTGAGTGTGCTCAACTTTTCCATCCAACGCGCTGCGTCGTTTGCAGGTGAGACGCTCAAGTCGAAAGAAGAGCTCTCGTTTCACTGCGGCTTCCGACGGTTCTCGGGCAAGCCCATCTTCAGCGACCAGAGCCTCAAGAGCGACCAGCACTTGTTCCAGCGCTTCCTGCCGCAAAGTGGGTGGAGCGTGGCGACCGTGTACGGCCCCGTGACGTTCCAGCCGGCTTCGCTACTGCTGTTCAAGCCCGACGGTCAGCTTGTGGCTTCGGGGACGCTCAAGAACGTGCACCCCGACCGCGTGGTGCTCAAGCGCGTCGTTCTTACGGGGACGCCGGTCAAAGTGAAGAAGCGCAAGGCAGTGGTGCGCTACATGTTCCACTCGCCCGAGGATATCCGGTGGTTCAAGCCGGTGGAGCTGGCGACAAAGCACGGCCTCACGGGTCACATCAAGGAGTCGCTGGGCACGCACGGGGACCTCAAGGCCGTGTTCAACAAACCCATCAAGCAGCACGACACTGTGTGTCTCCATCTATATAAACGCGTGTACCCCAAGTTTCCGACAAAGAACCCTCTGTCCAAGTAGAGCTGCACAGCGTCATGTGCATTGAATAACACAACGCTAGAGTTGCAGTGCTTGACGTCTTCTTCTTCTTGCAAGAACAGCATCATCATCATCATCATCATCATGTTGAAGTCGACAAGTCGCATTGCGTAGATATGTCCTGCTGGCCTACTGTCCACTAATCCAGAGGGGCGACTGTTGTGAGCGAGTGAACGCCATCATCGTCCATGCTCGCCACCTGCTTCCCTCTTTTACCCACGCCGGCGCTTGGTAGCTGGCGAGTCGGCGACAGTCACATCACTACTCGCTTCTTCACGTTGTCGTCTCTGACCACGACGACTGTCTCCTTCAGCCCAGCTCAAGAGGCTGTCCACGACGAAATACGCCATGTGCTCAACCAGGCCGAGCCATACCAGCAATCCCCGCAAGAGCCGCTTCAAGCGCTCATCGCTCTCGTCTTCCGATTCCGACGAATCGCCTCTTGCGTAGGAACGAAGTTGGCCGAGAACCTGCTGCGCCATCCCGCGCAAGAAAGTTGCGCTGCTGGTACCAAAGGCAGCAGCTCGGCTGGCCGATGTCGCTCGGACGAGGAGGTCAACCAGGTCGACCATGAACGGGTCCACGGCACGCAACAGCTCGGACCCCAACGCTGACCGCCGCTCGACGGTCCCATGGACTTGGTCCACCACATCTGCAGGCAACTCGTGCAATTGCAGCAAACTGCGGAGCTCACCCACGAGATCCTGCGCCCACGTGCGGATACTCGGGCGAGTCACCCGCGGGACATCAACACCGCTGAACAGCGCAAAGCCCACGTGCGCCAACATGTGGTGTAAATGTGTCGCGTCGCCTGCCATAACCCCGTAGAGAGTCGAGATCGGTAGCTCACTCATGAGTCGACTCACAAAGTCTGCCAGATTCCAAGTCGTTGTCGCATGGCTACCGCCAAGACCCGCTGCGAGAGAGAAAGGAAAAACAACCGATGACATCAACGGAAGGCCCACACCAGAGATCGAGACGGGAGCGCCTGCCGATGACAATGGTCCGTTACCGTCACTTGAAACTGCTTCGGCTCCTGTGGAAGGCTGGCTACTGCTTTGCGCAGAAGTCTCGGGTCCGGACGCCAATGGCACTGCGCCGCGCGAAATTCTCGCGAGACTTATCGGAAAACCAGATGCGATTCCTGACTGCCCTGTCGGAAAAGCAGCGACTGTCGATGCTGCAGCGGAATGCCTGCCGCCCGTCAAATCAGAAGCGCTGAGGCGAGCTACCCGTATCCGCGGCCTGGCGTTGGATGCGCCTTGTGTTCCTTGTCTCGCCGTGCGTGTCGCTGCTTGCAAAGCTGCATGCATTCGATCACCGACTGCGCTGCTTGTACGTGCAGTATTGGCCACGCCTGGGCCAGCTCGAATCGCATGGAACCTCGCTTGAATCCTGTCATCGATCGAGGGACCTGCACCTCCGGCGTCTCCTCGTCGTGCAATGGGTTCGCCTGGTTGTGCAGTTCGCCGGACAAACGCATGACGTGCCATACGCGCTAGCAAGTCCGTGGACTCCCCGATCGTTTGCAATGCCTCAATGGTGCGGATAACCTGACGCGCCGACAGCGTCGCCACAGCACTACCAGTGCTACCAGTAGAGAGCGTGCTACCTGGATCTGACTCGGCTGGTGCGGTGTTGGGATCCGTCGACGCAGAAGCGAGATCGACTGCTGCTGTATTGGAGCCAGCTGAACCAGTCCTGGATTCAGCCACTGCGCTAGTATCCACTGATGCTGCACTATGCCCCACTTGTGCTGGACTTGCCCCGCCAAGTGGCACCGCACCGGAGCTGACTGAGGCCAAAGAAGAAGCTGTGGGGAGCTCAGATGGTAGATGTGGCCCGGTTGACGCTGACGTTGGAGGAAATGGATCAGTCGAGACGATGTCAGACTCAACCGATGCAGTAGCAGCGCGTTCGCTTGCGTGATCTCGGCGAGCAAGCGCGGCAGGAAGAAGACGCAGTCGCGGTCCAAAGCGTTCCAAGAGTGTCAGCAGCATCTCCACCTGCTGCTGAAGTTCCGACATGGCTGTGTTGTTATCACCTTGAGGTAGAGCTGTTAGCTCCGCGGGAAAATCAAGCGACGAGTCGTCCAACGTTGCACGCACTGACTCGAGTCGAAGTCCAGTGCGAGCGCGCAAAGCAGCTTGACGATCTGCACCAGAAAAAGAACGTCGAGCAGTGCGTTGGTCTCCCAAGGTGTCACGGTTCCGGTGGTGATGACGAAGCGCGCGTGTAGTAGCTGTGTCCATCTCAGCAGCAATAGCGCCGCCCAAAACGTCACCCGAAAATGCCACATGTCGTTGTCCTTCGGGTAACACTCCCAGTGTCGCGCCTCCTGCTTCCCCTCCACTGCCAGTATTTTCGCTGACCTGTGTAGCGAGGTCAGCAATCATCGAGCTGAGAAAAGGCATGGTCACATTTGTGCCCTCTGGCACCGTGATGGTCGCACCCATGAGCACGCGGCCAGGTTGAGCTCCCATACTTGACTGTCCCATTGTCGGATCCGGCTCGTCGTTATCTCGTGGTGGAGCCGGCGGCAAGCGTGCGCGGCGCTGGCGCAGTCGTGATCTCGACCTTGTCCGAAGCGCCGATTGGTCAAACCCTTCAAGCCGCGCGTTCAGCGCGGCGATCTCGTCCAGTGCTTCTAAGTACATAGCCGAGGGTGGAAACTGCGAGTTTGGAGCAGCAGCAGTTGCGGCACGACTAGCAGCAGGACGGTCCGGTGCTGCACTCGTAGCAGCTGCTGCTGCATCCTGCTGCTGATTGTCCGTCGACGCGATGTCCGTCGACGACGGAGGCGGCAGCGCACGCACGACCAAGTGCAGCACGTGGCCGTCTTCGAGCGCGTACGAGGCCAGCATCTGGTCGTTCTTGAGCACTCGTCCGCGGTAAATGAGTCGCTGTCGGGGCAGTGTGACCCCCGTCTCCATGGCCACCAGTTCCTTGAGCTGGGGCACCGATGCAGCAGCGCAGATCGTAATCGGGTACGTCTTCTGGTCCAGCGTCCGCACTTTGAGAGCCAACTGGGCACCATCGTCTTCCGTCACGGCAGGCTCTGCCACAGGCTCCTGCACTGCATCGGTCGGTACAGAGGGCAAAGCTGTGGCGTCGCGAAGGGGCGCGTCGCTTGGCACTGTCATTGTCCGAGCAGCCTGTCGCTCGCAGGGGTGGCGGTGTCTGTGTGTCTGTGGTTTGTTTTGTCTCGTTGCGCAGGTTCGAGACGTCGGTGGGCGACACGAGAGACGGCACGAGATGCACAGAACGATGGCGCAGCAGATGGGCGTGCGCGCGGACGATACGGTGACCTCGAGACAGCGACAGAGGCGCGAGAGCGCGAGGCAGTGGCGAGAAAGACCGCGGGCGAGCGGCAAATAATGGCGTCAAACAGGCCGTCGACGAACAAATACCTGTGGAAAACGAGGGTATCGGATTCGAGAGGGGTTGAGGGCCAGCAGCAGCTGCAGAAGGTCGGCCGACGACCGACGCGATACCATTTCGTCGTTGTGCGACACAGTGGGAATTTCTGTCCCGTGATTCGGGCGAGACGTTGCGAGGACTTTCGGTCTGGAAATTGTTAGTGTTCGTTTACTGTCTGAACGAATGGAACGGCCCAAACCGTTGCGATATGGGGGAAAGGAATGCAAACTTGCCCGTGGATGATCCACGCAATGGCGTGGGGAGTTTCTCGACACACGTACCCTACGAGACGGAAGACTGCGTGCCGAGCACGGCCGTTGTTGTGCTGTGCCAAAAACAGCGGCATAGTTTGTTGCTCTTTTGCAGGTGGGTGGGTGACTCCAAGATGAATGCTGTCATGAACCATGTGATGTGGAAAGGGAAATGGCAATGGTGCAGTGAAGAGCTGGTTCGTGACATGGACTTTTGCAGAGTCGTGGTATCGGTGGGTGGAGTCAGTTGTCCAGGCGCCTACTACACAGTCGATGGAGTCGAAAGGCGGGGCTGATAACGGGCCCGCTCATTTTCTGGCTCTATCTCACGTCCGGCGCAGGTGACAATGGCGGCTGAAACGGAACATCTTTCGTCTTGCAACAATATCGCGCGCTTCTCTGCTTTGATCACAGCGTTGTTTGTCCAGTCACACTGTTGTTTGCGGTACGTATAGTCGGTTGGCAATGCAGGACTCGCCGTCCCTTCAACCAGACAAAACGCGAGGCAAAATCCATGTCACTGTATTCTTCCAGTCGCTTGAGTATGATCGTCGTGTATTGCGTTCGACATCCACAACATCTTCAGAGGGCGATACGGCAATGCGCAGGTTTATTGCTTTGTACGATAGGCGAAGGAGAATGACCGGCGTGGGAACATGTACAGACAAGCATCTGCAGCGATTATGTTTTGGATAGTTGCCCAACGACTTTGTCTCGGAACTTCCATTCGGGTTTCGTCGTAGCCTATATATGCAATAATCAGATCATGCATACGATGCATAGAGCTAGCTGCCGGCATATAATTGTCTGCGTCAGTGCAATGTTACTGGAAGTCATCGTGGAAGCCAAGAGTGCGACTGAATAGCAGCGCCTCCGAGTTGCACTGTCCTGGTAAGCTTTTAGTGACGCACAGAACCGAGATGGTGCTGGTACGACCGCCGCCTGCATTCGGTAAGACATTGATCAAAATTGGTCGACAAGGCCTTTTGTTGCGAACTGTGATCGCGAAGTTTGTCTTCTGCAGTGCCAAGGTGGCCCCTTGCCATCCATTATCCCGTTCGTTTTATTGACTGCATGCTAACCTCGCTCTGAACGCCTAGGGACATTGAGGATACAGCCTTGGTCGAGCGTTGATTGTGCTTCGGGCACATCGTGTAGACGTAAATACGCGCACAGCGTCGTCAGCTCTGCGAGATTTGGTATCGAGAAGCTTTCGTCCCCTCGTACAAATGACAACGCGACCATTCTATCGTGAGTTCACTACCTCTACACATGTCCTTTTCGTCGGAGCCAGTGAGTTGAGTGGCGGTAAGCCCAACGCGTTGCACGCTATTGCCGACACACACGTTTTGGCTACGACAGAAGTGAGGAAAGCTCAGCGCTTTACAATGCCTTTGGATGAACAAATTGGCATGTGGCATATCAGTTGACCACATCAACATTTACTTGACGATGGCACATGAGACCAAACGTCAAGCAGGTGCACGGCACCTGATCTTACGCCTTCAGGCCGGGCCCTGTAGGCAAAAAGTGCCGAAACGAGTTCCTGTCTTTCGATCGTTTCTCGGGGCAAGCACTGGTCTACCCCACCTTTTTTTTGAGGCTCTGTTCGACAATGTGAAGAAAGTCGATAACGACACGACGGCACGAGCGGTGGACGTAAACAAGTCCGTTCAAGGACTTGTCCTTGTACCATGAGAACTTACATTGTTCATCGGGCACCAAAAGGATACCTGAAAGATGTCCACCGCACATGTCAAGTGAAAAGACATCATGCGCAACACTTGAAATGAATGACTTGATCGTTGGTTTACGGATAGTGATCTTACAATACATGCAATAGGTGCAGGAAGCACGCGTCTTACAGACGCGTAGCAATGCTATTTCTCAGGTAGGTGCGCATTGAGCGCGTCAGTACCTCTGCAACGAAAGCGTCGATAGAGATAGAGACATGTACGGCAAAAGACGTCGTGGTGGCCATAGCGCAACTTGACACCAATGAAGACAAGAGATTGTTGGCAAACAACGAGCCATCGCCTAATGAAGGGCTGCATGACGCTCACCAGAGCTCTGGGCTGCAATCGGTTGCAGTGTGCGACGACGAGGTGACGAATACCAGACGCAAAGTCACAGCTGCAAACAACATGGACTGTCCGCTGGATCCGCTCCACGGACGAGCAGTCGTGAGCTCTATCCGACTGAGAGCGACGACGTGTACGCGCATCTTGTGGCAGTACATGTGCAGAGCTGAGCGTTGTCTCGCAGTCGTTAGTAGCAGCACAGCTGTTTCCGAAGTCGTTCTCAGGTGACGTCAAAGTCGCTGACTTAAACGCTGGTGTCATAGCTGACACTCGCTCCACTGCAGTGTCTGTGTTGGATACGTCTCGAGTGCAGACATCGGTCCGATGATACGCACCTCGTGGCTTCTCGACTACCGAACACATTGCGTCGCTCCAAACGTACGGCGTCTGTTTACTGCCGCCGGTTGTACTGCTGCTGCTGCAACTGTCCATGTCCGTGACAATGTTGTCACGCTCGGGACAAGAGGTGGAAGCCGTGACCGGCACATCTTTTGCAATCGAGCGACAGTGCCCAAACATTGAGTCACTGCCACTAGTAACTACTGCATCCTGATCATCAGTGTCATCATTGTAGCCATCCCGATCGATGTCGCTGGCCGTGTTGGTGCTCGATCGCTTGGCGGCTTTTGCACTGCCGGCAAAGGCCTCCCCGAGAACAGCGATCCAGTGGCCGTATACGGTCGTGTTTGGTGCAACAAAGCGGATGGTCTTTCCTCTCGTGCCGTAGCGGATGGCGAAGCGCAGTTTACGACAGTCTTTCGCAGAACGTGGCAGGAGGTTGATGGGCATGTCGGGGTGGCCAATTGATACATTGATGCGACCGCCGCAGACGGTCGGGCGCTCGACGCGGAGTACGTATGTGGCACATCGACTTCTGAACGGCAGGACGTTGACGAGGAAGATCGACGTCGTCACTCGGAAGGGGCCGAGCTGGAGTTTCAGTGCATCAGCAGTCGTCATGGAGCTCTTCGTCGAAGCTGAGGGAGGAAGTACCTGTGTGTCAGGTTTGGTCGGTCGAGGAAGTTGGGTTCCAGTTGTTGAGGTACTTGTGGGGATCAGAGGAAGTTGACGAATGATAGACACATTGTCCCCACAAGTGGTGCAGTGGTGTTGACATGTGGCCTCTGCAGCAAGAGGGGGGACAGGGGATCGATTGTGCATCCCCTTCGCAGGAGGAGTCAGTAAGTGTCGGGATCGATTTGAGGTGAGACCGTAGAGAGGAAGTCAACGGGACCACGTGTCGAACGGAAGCCAGAGACGGCTGGGAGGGCTGACACGGACTGAAGTCGCGTGGCTCTGGAGATTGGACTGCAATGGCGTCGCAGAAGTGCAGCACCGCACTTGCAGTGCACTGGACAGGACGCAACAAAGAGCGGGCGATCTGTTGCTTGTTCGCGCACAGCGTCACGCTTCTGTTGTGGTGCGACGCGGGTCAATGGTGTGCCACGCAGGGCAAGAAACGTCGCGACAGCGACAGCAAGTAGTAGTGCATCAGACGGGGGCAGGTAGATGGATTCCTCCCTATCAACTTGTGTGGCTTCCGACCACAGAGTAGTGGTGTTTGGTTGTCACGGGTCTCAGACTGACGTCTGTGGCCGTGTGGCCGTTTGTTTAGCCGAGCGAAGCGACTGGATCGCAGACGACCGTTCCATGGGAGCGGATGGTCGTTCATGCAACTGCTCTATCACAGAGAACAACGACAGTGTCGTCGGTGCTGTTCGTGCAACGTGGGACAACCACTTCCTCTGTTGCTGCTGAAAAAGAAAAGTGAGACCGAGACACAGCGATCTCTCTGTGTGTGTGTGTACCGTCGCTTTCGACTTGTGTAGCCATCTGTGCTGGCGGTCTCGACGGTCGTGCGTTGACGCATTAGGGTCCTCTATTGACCCGACCACTTGTCCTACTGTAGAACATTAAACAGGTCCGAAACGGGACGTGTGGCTCGAATCGATCTGAAACAAACGCTATGCTGCGCGCCATAAGACGCCAGCGACGCGGCGGGGACCTCACTACCGCTCGTCGTGCCGTGTGGCTTGCAGCACGCAGAACGAGCAGCAGCGCCGCCCCGGGCGGTTTACAGGTGTGTGGACGAAGGCTGTTGATAGAGATACCTGAACGACTGATGAATCATATTTAACGTAACTGAAGCTGACCACAAAAGTGTTCTATTTGCTTTAGTATGTAGAAATTGGCAGTGTGAGAGCTCCGATATCAACGCCAAAGTCGCTGGAGTTAGTGCCCCGCGGGTACATGACAGAGGTGCCGCAAGGACGGCAGATCGCTCCTGTACGATGCAACTTCAGTCGGTCTAGTAGGCATTTGGTGGCAAAAGCCGCTTGACTCGTCTTCTAACAATGGTGAACCTGCTTCTTTTTCGTGTCAGACTCTACTCGGACATCTCCGATGGATGCTGCAGAAGGACCTTTTGCAGCAGGATATGTTCCTGATAGGGTACGACTGGAACGTGGAATCCTCGGGATGCGCTGGTCGCGGCTTATTGCGATAACGTCGTCGTTGCGCTGCTTGTTCGCAGACCTCCAGGATCTTCTCGACGACTACTGAGCATGCGGTTCTGTGAACTACTGAAGAAAGAGGTGGAATACATTGCCGTGTCGCAAGATACGACGGAGGCAGACTTGAAACAGGTTTGTCGAAACTGTAGTTGGTAGGTGGGACGTAGTGATTCCGAGCGAGCCAATGACGTTGAGGTGTTGATGTTTGCGTACCAAAGCGTCGAGAGATTGTCAACGGTGCAGCTACTTTCGCGGATCAGGCTCCGGTTCGAGCTGCCATTCATGGCCGTGTGCTCGTGATTGACGGTTTGTTGTGCACGAAACTTTTGCACGATACGCTTGTGCTTGTGCGAGTGCTGATCAGCATTGTTGTGCGCGTCCTCGGAAACCTAGGACTTGAGAAGGCAGAGCGGAACGTTTTGCCCACGCTGAACAACCTACTCGAGAACCGAGAAATGAAGCTAGATGACGGGCGCTTTCTCATGAAGGCAGAAAGGTACATGGACGTTGGCTGTGTAGCAGTTTTTGCTCGACGAGTTTGAATGATATCCCTGTTTGTCTTGAGCAGTTACGACGCGTTGCTGGAGAGAGGGTTCTCAGCAGACGCTTTGGATGCCCAAAATCTGGTACGAGTCCACCCAGATTTTCGTGTCATTGGACTGGGTCTCCCGGTCCCTCCGTATCCTGGCCGTACATTGGATCCACCCCTTCGATCGAGGTTTCAGGCGAGAGACATTCAACCAAATTCGCCGGGTTCACAGCTTGAGGAACTGCTTGTTGTCGCTCCATCTGTTCCATTGCTTACACTCGAAAAACTTGTCGGCATTCGAGAGGCTGTTAATACGATCGAAGCCACGTACGACGCTGGAACGAGTACAGGGCCGCGTATGCCGCACTTTGACTTCCTGTCGCTTCAGCATTGCGCAAAAGTGCTGGAGAAGTTTCCAGAAGCAAATGTGGCTAACGCTATACGCCGGTCTTTTCCGGTCCGAACCGATGTTCTTGGAGCTCGATCAGAGGCGAATTCGAAGGCGCTGAATCGCATCGTTGCAAAGTTCAACGGTGATCTCAAGAGTACAGCGTACATGCTGCAAAGTGTTGCCAAAGAGTCTGCTAAAGATATGACGGCAACGGTGAGCTTTCGCTCCCATTCCGACCAGATTGTGCTGCACGACGTTCCGTGTGGGACAACGCGCGCACAAATGGATGCGATGCCGGGGTTTGTGGAGACGGACGCTCATTCCAAAGTTCTTGCCGAAATGGTGCAAGACCATACTGTCGGTAGGGACCTGTGTATCCTCGGAGCCAAAGGCAGTGGGAAGTCTGCTTTGGTGAGGTTGTTTGCGTTTCGTTTGGGGTATGCGACGGAGCTATTTTGTCTGTTCAAGGATATGACCACGCGAGACCTCCTCCAGCGACGGTCAACTGACTCTCAAGGCAACACACAGTGGGAGGATAGTCCGCTCATCCATGCTGCGCGAAACGGACACCTGTGCGTGCTGGATGGGGTCCATCGCCTACGAAATGATAGTCTAGGGGTGCTTCAAAGGCTGGTTCAGGACCGGGAGATCGATCTAGCTGATGGCTCCAAATTAGTATCTCAATCAACTTACGACGCTATCATGGCCGATGCAAACAGAGCTGGAGACGTGCATGCGCTGAGTCGAGTGTCTGCCATTCATCCCTCTTTTCGTATTATCGCAATCGCTGAGGCTGATGCTGCGGCATTAAAAGGAACGATTTCTCTGCCAGGCAAGGAGTCTACATCTGCATGGCTAAGCTCGGACAGCATATCGATGTTCAGCTTTCATTACCTCCCGACAATACCTACAAAACAGAGAAGAGAAGTTGTCCAACGATTGTATCCTGGCCTCCCTCATGAGACCACGAGGTAAGATCCACTGAATTCGTCTCCCTGCGTCAATACTGACTATTTGATCTTGTACGGATGCACAGGATTCTGCTGACGTTTTCAGAGAAGCTGGAAAGCGCCAAGAAACGAAGTGCAAGTGCGGACCACCTTGCGCTTTCACTATCCACGCGCCAGCTGCTGCGTATTTGCCGTCGACTCAACGCATTTCCCGAGCAATCATTGCAAGATTTGCGCGCGTTAGTGCACGATACGCTGCTTACCAAATTCTTGTCTCCGTCGTGCAGCGAGCTAGTCGATTCTCTTTTGGACGAGTGTAAAGCGCCGGCTTCGAACGCAGCCACGTCCGACTTTTCGGTGCAGAAAGCAGATGTCATTAGCGAAGAAGACGGATACTTGCGTATCGGTGATGTATCGTATCCGATCCAAACCCCGAGTAGCCCAGAGTTGGTTCCTCAGCCACACTATTTTGATATTCCGAAGCATACCCGTTGCATGAAGGACATGCTGCAGGATATTGTAGCCGGTCAAAAGCACCTGCTCTTGATTGGCAACCAAGGCGTGGGGAAGAACAAGCTCGCGGACAGATTGCTGCAAATGATACAGCAGGAGCGCGAGTACATTCAGCTGCACCGAGATGTGCGTTTTCCATTTGAAAAAGTGTGGTGCGCTGGTTTCGATGAGAGCGACATCTGACATTGCTAACGTGCCATGCTAGACAACTGTGCAAACTTTGACGTTGGCACCAACGCTTGTTGACGGGAGCATTTTGTGGAAAGACTCGCCACTTGTCCGAGCAGCCAAAGCTGGTCGAACACTTGTTGTCGACGAGGCCGACAAAGCGCCACTAGAGGTCGTTTGTGTTCTGAAGGGGCTGATCGAGGACGGCGAGATGCTTCTGGTACGTTTCTTTGGCCTGAGTTCTCTGCAAGGTTGACTCACTAATTCGCTCAATATGTCTAGGGTAATGGCAAGCGCTTGATCGATCCCACTAAAGTCGCAACAGAAGAGTGGCACAATGAGGACAACATCATCGAGCTTCACCCCAATTTTCGAATGTGGGTGCTCGCGAATCGTCCAGGATTCCCTTTCCTGGGCAACAACTTCTTCCGTGAGATCGGTGATATCTTTGCAAGCCAGTATGCGACACAGCACTGCTCCTGATTCGTACGTGCATGTGAAAGCTGCTTCTAACGCGCTCATTCGTGCGTGCTTCCTACCTACCAGCGCGATCGAAAACCCGGACGAAGAATCGGAGCTAGCCTTGCTAACTGCTTACGCGCCGACTGTTCCCGTTGACACATTGCGCCGGCTGTGTAAAGCGTTTGCCGAGTTGAGGGGTCTTGTGGAGAATGGTACCATCACGTATCCGTACTCAACTCGTGAAGCTGTCGCTGTGGCAAAACACCTACAGCGCTTTCCAAGAGACGAAGTTGGATCCGTACTGGTCAGTGTCTTCGCTGCGAGTATCCGAAATCGTGGGACTGATACTCGTCACTGTACAGGCGAACGTGTTTGCTTTTGATGCCTACGATCGAGCGATGCTTGCTCAAGTATCGGATGTCTTCATGAGGTACGGACATTTGTGTCGTCAGCTGTGGCGTGGCGTATGGCAGAACTGACGACCGTTTGCACTATTGTTGTTGACATGTTCGTTCAGACACGGAATCCGTCTTACCAGCAACAGTGGAGACGCTTTGTGTCTCGAAATGAATATCACAACAGCGGACGGCAGCAAAGTGGGTGGACCATCGACGCCCAAGACAGGTCTGGACACTCCCAAGCACGGCAAAGAGGACCCGAACAATGATCCTCATGTCGGAGGCAATACATGGGCTGGAGGAACTGGCGGATCGGACACAGCCGGACTCGGAGGCCGTGGTGGTCCCTATCGACTTGACAAAGGTCATCCGGTGCACCAGGTCTCCCAAGAAAAGAAGGATGAGGTGTCAGCTGCAGCACGTGCCAAAGCCCATGCCATCGCACAAGAGGCACTTGCTGAGAAGTTGCGCGAGATTGACATGAGCAATCACGAATGGAAAACGTACGAATCGTTTCTCAAACGCGTGGAGCGAGAGAGTTCGCAGCTGCGCGCCATTTTGTCAAACTTGGAAACAGTGACGCAGGAACGCAACTGGCTGCGACACCAGTCGAGTGGCGAGCTGGACGATGGCAAGCTTGTCGACGGCATTGCTGGTGAGCCTCTCGTGTTCAAGCGTCGTGGCGTGAGTGACTCGCCGTTTCGAGCCCTGTCTGGAAATTCACAGGGCCACGAACCCAAACGGATGCTGTTTGTAATGGACGTGAGCGGCAGCATGTTTCGCTTCAACAGCGAGGACGCCCGCCTGAAGCGTATGCTGGAGACGTCGCTGATGATCATGGAGAGCTTCGCGGGCTTTGGGCGTGAGCTGGACTATTGCATCATGGGTCATAGTGGCGATTCGCCCGAGATCCCGTTCGTCGAGTTCGGAGCACCGCCCAAAGACCGCAAGGAGAGGCTCCAAGTGCTTCAGAGGATGGTCGCTCATTCTCAGTTCTGCCGCAGCGGAGACCACACTGTTGAGGCGATCGAATGTGGTGTCCAGCGCGTTGCTGCGCTTGGGGGTGATGATCGATTTGTGTTTGTCGTGAGCGATGCCAACCTCGAGTGGTACGGCATTGAACCTCGAGAACTTGCTCGCAAGTTGCTGGCCGACCCGGGTGTGCAGGCCCACGCTCTTTTCATCGCTTCGTTTGCTGACGAAGCCGAGGAGATCCGATGCGCGCTGCCACCAGGTCGAGGCCATGTCTGCCTCGACACGTCCGACTTGCCGAGAACCTTCAAGCAAATCTTCACTTCTGCATTGGGCAGCAACTAGACAGGAGTGAGTTGCCCCGCCGAGGAATTCACGACAAAATTGGGAAATGCCGACCGGCGCTTGATGACGGGCACTTTCGTGTGAAAGCGAAAGTTACCGCGCAGTTTGATGCGCTAGAGCGCTCAGGACAACTTTGTTGCTTCCTGTGTGATACTGAGAATTGACTCTCGGAAACACGCGTTGCATCGCAGAAGGACAAACTGACATGCGTATTACGTACACATTCGCACCTCTTCCTCCTGAGCCTCTCATCCGCAGTATCTACAAAACACGAATCGTAGTAATTGGACTCCTATCGAAGTTATGACAACTCCGACTGCTGTTTTGATCCGGACAGTGATTGTCTGCTGCGACGTTCTACACTTTACTGCCGTACGCTGTCATCGACTTGGCAAGTATAGTCATGACTTGGCCCTGTGCGAGATCGGATTCTGTACTTTGTACGGTAGTTTTAGGCACTAGATGAAACGAGGTGGCTTTGTTACGGTGTGATTCGCATTGCTGTCCATGACGATACTTTCTGAGCGTATAGTATTCAAGAACCGTAGCTTCAGCGGTATTGTTCAGCGTAACTGGTGATGCACTGTCATTGTCTGATCGAGGTCACGATGCTAACCAGCAACTAACACGGCTCAACGCGCGCAATGTGAGGTGAGGAAGGAGCCTGTAGCTGCATGTGTAGCTCCTTATGGTCAGCGTAAGGTTTCGAAAATGTAGTGTAACTTGACTGTATCAGCTCATATGATGAGCTTGTACGAGTCACTTGGCTACGCTTCCATTGCACGAGAATGTACGCGATGTTTCGGACCACTCGTCTACACTGCGACCAGTGGAGGTTGCTTATACTGCCGTTTGTGCAACAATAGATGGGGTGGAGACGGTCAGCTTTTACGCCACGCGTATATGTTTCGTCCATTTACGTGATGGCGAATGGGCGACGGTCGAGGCACGATTCTGCATTCGGTAAACCAATCGTCCGTGCCATGTTGTTTGCCCTGACTGGTCGGCCATCATACTACGATCGCACAGATCAGTCAATAAGCACTTGACGCCGCTGATAAGACGTGGGCTTTCTACCCGAACGACGCTCTTGACAAGCAAAGCTGTTGATCGATAGCATCATGCATGTGTTACTACAGCCGTGCTTTCTCGTGTGCGTCGACCCAAAAACTTGCTACGAAACGTTATAACATGTGAGACTATCAGAGGACGCTCTTTGTTAGGACGATTCGTCGAGCTTATAAGTTCTATCAAAGCTCGTTGCACCAAATGTGCTGCTGTACAAGTTAAGATTGCCCTGTCCGATCTGGGATGGGCTTGATCACAACTACAAATCGTGTGCTTGTATATCGCGATCCTTCGCTTTGTGTGCCGCACGAATGTTTGAGACGCGACGCACACGTCTGGAAAATCGCTGTGCGTAATTTGCCATCGCAGGCAACACCTTGTGATCAAATTCACAAGATATCGTTCGAATGGGGTTGGCCACAAGGTGGTGCTAAGCACGCACGAAACACACACACTTCCAGGTCGGGGACCGCCGATCAGCTATTTGCTACCTTTTTAAGGCCTATCCAATTTCGTTATCAGAGGATCCATCTAGCCTATGTGTACAAATATGCGATGTGAAAGACTGAAACAAACGTTCGTATCAACAGCGTTAATCAGTTATGAATGACTGTCGTCACTAGCTGCTATCAGTACAAAGCCGATGCAGGTTTGTAGCTCTGTTTCTTGCAGCAGTCGTGGGGCGTCTCTTTCGCCTTCTTGTACATACCGCAAGATTAAAAATGACCAGATGTAAAATATTCGAATAGACTAGTGTAGAAAACAGTCACTTGAGCTGGACGGAAGCCGATATTGCGAGCGAGACTGGTGAAACGTCAATTGCGCTACTCTTTACGCATTGGTAGACATGCCTCTTTATCTCCGTTGCAAGATATCTCTCTTGACGAATCAGATCTGGGAAGACAACGCTTTGAGCATTCAGCAATCAACTTACAGCGAATGTTGTTCAATGAGTTACGTCGCAGTTTGCTTAACTTCGATAAATGCAAGTACCCGTATATTCGACACCCCTCAATCTTTTTAGTTTTACTTATCCGGATCTAGTTACATGGCCGGAATCATGTAGCGGCTCACTTCATACTGTTTTTACATAGCATTTGATGGTGATGATCTTTGAGACGCTATGCGAGGAACAATTCGCGTGGCAACGTAGATCTAGAGCATTTCGTAAATGTACGGATCGTGTTATTTACCAAGTCATGCCTAGGTCAAGATCGTACCTCGTACTCTGGTGGAAGAGCTGGATACACGCTATGCTGCTATGGTCCATAACTTTTCACCAAAGCCCCATACATATTTTGCATGGATACGTGGTCATGTAGCTGAACAAGCAGTGATGCTGCCACTTCAATGCGCTTCCAGCGCTTCAGGGTATGTTTGACTCCTTTCGAGGGATTGCTTAGACGTCAAGTGTAAATTGTCGATTCGTGACTATGAATTTAATTATAAGGACTCCATAGTTTCGCAATCAGCTTACGGGCTCTTTCATGACAAGCTTAATTGCACATACATTCGGTGCTACAGACGACGAAGCATATAGAGACCCGTTCCTGCCTATTTCTACCTCCTCTGTCGCCTTTGTATCTGAAAAGCGCTCTATGTCTGCTGAAAGTCGATGTTCTGCCGCGCCGTAATCGATTATTTACGTGAGGTGGATCGATGTATTGAAAGAGCTTGACAAGGCTTACTTTATAGACTACCTCGACGCGGGTGTCTAGTGTTTATACAGATATGACGTCGGCTGATTATATTGTGCTTAGCCATTCATAGCGCAATTTCGATATCATCAAATCACAGCTGAGACCCATAGTCTTCGTCGGCATGTACCCGAGATGCTCGACACTGTATTCCTAGCAAAAAAGCGTGGGTCGTACATATCGCAACTAAGTCGATCTGAGTCACAAATGAATTTGGCACTCATCATATGTATTTATTGTAGCAAATACAGAAAGCTGAACCATGATACATTCTTTATCTGGAAGTGACCGAACGACATTATATCATACGATAGTAGGAAGTGGATCAGACTGCATAGCCGGAAATAAATTGCGTCTTCTATCTCCGGCATAAACCTTCATATGCTTGTTCCCAAAAAAGACACACTTTTAGATCGCCGACCCAACTCGCTGATGTTCTGTCAATGTATGGATAGTCCCTTGCCAGGTTAAGTCCGTAAATCGAGATGTAAAAGCTTACTTTCCCACTACATCACACTTTACTTTTCGCATTCAACGAGCAATCGATTCCGGGAATTCCCGTCAGGCATAATTGGTACGCGAAGAGTCGGTAATTTGGTATGTAATATCCTCACATTTCCCGGACAGAGTGGCCTTTCATTTTATGAAAGCCACGAGACGAGCACTGAGCAACTTTGGACCTTGTGCGCTAAGTCCGAATGGCTTCGTACCCAGTAGCACGATAAACATAGTGAGCGTAACCTTTTGTGCCTCGGAACGAAGAGCACATGTATGTATCGATACGGAGGGTGAGGACTCAGATTATATAAGTTGGATTGACTATCAGTGCTACCAAGTGCAGCGGGCTGCCATCGGCAGCAAGAGAGGCACTGACTCAATCAGTCCATTTGGCTGCTGATAACGTGCTGTAAGTCCTCTACAAACAAAGAATAACCTGTGACTCACAGGAAGCTTCTATGACATTGTTACCCACCAAATCGATGCTTGTAAAAACATAATCGACAAACGGTGAGACCATTGACGCAAGTCACCTTACAATTGCCATCCTCGAACTAATCAGCGAATGTGATACACAGATCTCACAAGATCGTCATACAATTGACAAGCCACAGCAATGCGAAACTTATGCATTTGGCGGTGCTCGTCTCGAATACGAACCAATGGCCGAACTTGAGTATACAACATGGACGGAGCCGCGAGGAAGCGCAGCATTGTGCCAATGCCGAATCGTTCCGTGGGTAATTGAGCTGATCAATACATTGTTTATCGACTGCATCCTCGGTAAAGCGTCGCCGCACCTGATGATTGTGTATGAAGTCGTAAATGATGTTCTGTTGCATTGGCAGCAGATACAATGAAGTGCAGGTGATACAATCGATAGATAATTGGCCGAACATAATGCTTCTGAACAACAAATGACACGAACAAGATACAGTCACCCCTTTCTATAAGAGACAACTTTGTGCCAATTTCTACAGCGCGTCTTATAAAAAAGTCTCTTATAGAGAATCTGAAAGGAAGAAGTTGCATGATATTTTTAAAGCGCGACCCGCCAGTTATAATGGAATGTAACGTTTTCTACTATATGAAGTCTCTCATGCCGAGCTTTTTCGCCCTAGCGTGCGGGTTCTTGCGAATAACCGACGACATCTTATCCAAATCTGACTGTATGATTCACGTATCTTCATCTGAGCGAATGAAGTACGAACGCAAAAGCAGGCAGCACTTTAGTGCTTCTTTTGCACTGACAGGCGCTTGATCTTCGTCGCTTTCGGCGTCCGCGGGCTCCACTTCTGCTTCAATCAGAGCTTCTTGTTCTTTGTGAATCTGCTCGTGGTCCTCGATTTCGACATAATCATTCACGCTGACGGCTACACCAAGCTTTCGAAACATATAAGCCAGATCGCACCAGTCTTGTTGGAAGACGAGGCTGGACTGTAGATAGTCGTTTCGTGCACGCGAACCCGCAACCTGTGGCGCTTCGATGATCCCACTCTTGACCCAGCAACTTCGAATGATATCCCCGTCAATACTGTTCCAGCTCTCAGCTGCAAACTTAATGGATTCTAGGACATTAAATCTGCGTTCCATGTTTGCTTTGATCAGATCCATGCGCCATCGCATTTGAAGTTTCTTGTAGCGAGCTTTAAATGATCGGATGATACCTATATAACATACATGTAGGTGAGGAGATTAATGTAGATTTAGGACGCATATATATAAATTATGAGATTAATGCTTACCTGCATCGAGCGGCTGGTAAGTGGAAGTCATGCTAGGCGGAAAAAATACCACAGTGACGTTGTTAATTTCTCGTTGGACCTTGTGACTGGAAGCATTATCAAGAAGTAGCAGGACTTTGCGACCATGCATTCGAAGATTAAATTGATGCAGTCACTTATCAAAGATAATTACAGACATCCAGACGTTTGAGCTCGCATCGTATACGATGCCACGCTTCCCGATCTCCACACCCTTTGGCTTTTTAAACCTTCCGATGATCATGGGCTCAGCTTTTCAAAGCCACTTTCTTTGCAGCACAGAGCAACTGTTACGCGTGACTTTGCGCTCTTCTTGTCGTTGTTCCAAACCGTGGACAGGGTTCGTTCGGTGGAAAGTCTTAAAATAATGTGTCTCATCAAATTAAACACATCACTCGGAAAATATTGTTCAATCAGAGATCGGATCTCAGACTTTGCTGCTTGCACATCCTCGATACATAAGCTCCTGCTCTCGCCTGCCAACGCGCTGCTTTTGATGTTGTTTCTCTTCTTTACACTCTGGAGCCAGCCTATGGAAAGCTTGAGATCGTGATCTTCGATATCATGGCTCACTCGCGGTCGGTTTTTTTTCTCTAGGACCAAATCTTCAGATAACCCGTCACTCTCGCACTCGAGAACGAATTTCAGCAGCTCCTTCTCGAACTCAGGATGCTTTACACGTTGTTTCTTTTTTGCATTAGGGTCAAAGCCCTCAAAGTCGATTTCTTTCACGGCCATGAGCCGGTGCGCCGTTGATTTACTAATGCTGTGCTGGAGCTGAATGCTCACATAATGCATTCTCACATTCTGCGCTTCGTAAAAGCGGATGTTTGGGCGATCTTTGCAGTGTTGAAAGACCTCGTACTTCTGCTCTAGAGAGAGTGATACTCGCTTTGTTGAACTCATTGGTTGCACGGGCTTGATGTTCTTGGGTGGGCGTGTTGTATCAGTGGTGTAGTCGAGTATAAACGAATATTCAATTTTATTTCTCCCTATCTATTGCCTTACAAAGTTATAAAATTTCGTCTTCTGTATCTGTCGTCATGACGTCATCAGTAATATGGGCCTCATAAGCTTGCCTATTATGACATGCTCTATGTCTTTCCCTAGGTCACGTCTGTGGTTCTATGACGTTGCTGAATAGGTCTAAGGCAAATCTTCGGCTAAAACAACTGTCACCTCATATGCCACGAATCTCTTTCAGCATCTGAAGTAGGGGTAGTGAGTCACATAAAGAGGGTTTTCACCTCAAATAAGCGAGTATTTTTCCGTCTCTTATATCTTGCTCGCTTACAAAGAAAACGGCATACAAATTTATATATAGTTTGAAATGTTCGGCGACACTGTGACCCTTATATGGAGGGTGTCTCTTATAGAGGGTGTCTCTTATAGAGGGTGTCTCTTATAGAGAGGGGTGAGTGTATCATTGTAGCAAGCTACAGAAGCACAAGGTCGATGACATATAATGTATGTAAATTCATTGAGAACGGGGGCGTCATTGAGCTATGCGTAACAGCATCGCGGATAACTTGTCTTCTACTCTCCAATGCAGACACTTCTTACAAAAAGATGCTTGTATCATCATGTGAGGACCGAAGGCCTCATCCTAAAAAAATCTTGTCAAGTACATCGTTCGTGTACATGACCACAAGGCACTATACCATTGTATTTGGAGGTAGATATGTACTATGCATCACTACGTGCGGCCATTGCTGCGAGCTCTGTTGCAGCTTTCTTCGGAACTTCTATGGATGAAGAGAAACCGACACTCTTTTGACACGAGGTCTGACAAGTCTCATTCTGCGCTGCAGGATTGTAGAAAGAGGCGGTTGAAGACATTCACTCGAATGATAACGACACCAAAACCAGCACCATCACTTCTCATTCGGTCGTGCTGTTCTGTACCGTTCTACGCACCACTACACTTGTCGCCAATACCAGACTTGCGTAATGCGAGATGCCCACTGGACCAACCGAGCAAGACACGACGACACCATCATCATCATTCCAGTCATTGCTATCGTATAGAATCGAGACGACCTGTACGATGGAAGTAGCAAACTCCCTGTCCGAGCTCGTTTCCAAGTCCATATCTACCTAAGCGAAGGAATACCCACATTACACTCACCTGCGCTTTTCGTTTAGCCCCACTCGATCCTGTAGCACTACTCGGCCGCAAGCGAGCGAGGAGGATCTGGGCAGGTCGTTGGTGCGACCTTCGCGCAACCTGATCCGCGCCCAAGAGGGAGGATACGTTTGCCGAAGCGTCCGTCGATATCCGTGTGGCAGACACACTCGTCCCTCACCCCCAGCCGCTCCTCTCGACACTCGGCAGCATGAGCAGCACTGGCGCTGGCTACGACTACTCGGCGGGCACGTTCTCGCCCGAAGGCCGCATCTTTCAGGTCGAGTACGCCAAGAAAGCCGTCGAGAACAGCGGGTAGGCAGACCGACAACTCGCGCGCACGTCTCACTTTGTGTGTGTGTGTGTGGTATCTATGGAACTAAACACACGCTGCCCCTCCTTTTGCTCTCTCTCTCTCTATGTGTGTGTGTTTGTTTCTCTCTCTCTGTTTGTGGTTGTACGTCACTATGTAGCACCACAATTGGCATCAAGTGCACGGACGGAGTCATTATGGGCGTCGAGAAGACGCTGCTGAGCAAGATGCTGGTACCAGGTACCCATCGTCGCGTGTACGCGATCGACCGCCACGTGGGGCTGTCCATGGCTGGGCTTGTGGCGGACGGCCGGCAGCTCGTCAACCGCGCGCGGGAAGAAGCACTGAACTACAAGAAGAACTACGGCTGCAGCATCCCGCCGCACCTGTTGGCGGAGCGCATGGGCCAATTCGTGCACTACTACACGCTGTACGGCTCGATCCGGCCTTTCGGGACAGCGGTTATGCTTGCAGGCTACGACCGAGACACGGAGAAGAGCAGTCTCTACATGGTCGAGCCCTCGGGAGTGACTTACGTACGCTACTGCAGGCGCAAAGTGGCGCCAGATCGGCAAAGGTGCTGTCTTGGTATTGACTTGCTGACGAGTGTTGTTGCGTCTCGTGCTGCTGATGGTTGCAGAGCTACCGCGGTTGTGCACTGGGCAAGGGCCAGCAGTCGGCCAAGACAGAGATTGAGAAGTACAAGCTCTTTGACATGACGTGCCGTGACGCCATGAAATACGTGGCCAAGATGTACGTGCCGATCGGTCGTATTGGTATACTCGTTTGGTCACGCTAATGTACTGTGTGTGTTTGTTTGGTTGTGTGTTTGTTTGTGCTTGCTGGCCAACAGTCTCAATATGCTGCACGACGAGGTGCGCCATCCGTTCGAGCTGGAGCTGAGCTGGATCTGCAAGGAGACGAACTGGCAGCACAGCCTCGTGCCGGACCACTTGCGCGACGAGGTGAACGAGTGGGCCGTCCAGTCGATCAAGGACGACGAAATGGCCGACGACGACGACGAGGACGACGAGGACGAGTAAGCGCAGGATCGTCGTGCGCTGAAGCTCATTCGTTTTAGCTTTGGTAGCTGTCGACTGGAGTGGGGCGGTAAGCCTACAGATGTGGGCAAAGGCTCGAGCTTTGGTAACTTGCTGCATAAGCGCATGGAAGACAATTGTTTCGCAAAAGCTCGCGTTGTTGTGGTGCGGACTGCAGAAATAGTGACTACAGCACAGATCGTTACTATGACAGCACAGGCCATCATTCCGCGCCTCTGACAAAAGGTGCGCAGTCCCACGATCCTGACAAAAGGTGTGCAATCCCATGATCCTGACAAAAGGTGCTCTCGTACCTATTAGCTTCTTCGACAGATCTTTGCGGATATCCACAACCCACAGGTCGTTTCGACAGCCCCAGCAAACAACGTGCTATTCTGCCACTGACTGTACTGTATCCAAAACCAGTCGTGCAAAAACGCTGCTGCTACTTCAGTTGCAAACGACTTGTTGCAAAAAAAAGACCCAGGATCCGATTCAGGAAAACAAATGTATCCACACGCCATTCCTACCGACTTCACTACACGCAGTTTATACACCCACCACCCCACCCCACCCCACCTCACCCCTCTCCCTCGCGTCCCCCATCTCACCACATCCTCCCATACAACGCGCTCGCCATCGCCTTCTTGCAGTGCGCTGCGGCTCTGTTTAAATACTAAGGACGCCACTGCCGCAACGACCGTCAGTGCCTGTCTGTAGCGTGTCGACTGCGCACGCTGCAGGTGGTGCTCGACACGTGATCGAAGTAGCTCCTGCACGACGCGCGTCCGTCGCTGCTGCCGCCTCAACTGCAGCTCGAGGACGAGCGCGTCCAATTGCATCGAGCGCGCACTTGTTCCGCCTCGCAAACAAGCGGCGGTCCATCTCCCGATACATAATGACGCTCCACTTGCACTCGCCCGAGCAGTAGCAGTCCATCTGGTCGTCTGGGATCTGCAGCGAGAAGAAGGACACGCCGCAGTTGCTGCACACGAGCGGTAAGCCCGAGCCATTGCACGTGGCGGCGGCATCTTCGTCACTGCAGTCGCCAGCGTCCCGCGCGCGCGTCGACGCCATGTACGTCAGCACTTCCAGGTCCACGGCTTCGTCCATCGTGTACGCCAACGGGCCGTCCGCGCGCGCGCCGACGTCCTGCGCCTCGCAGTAGCGAAGGCGCCACGCATGGGGTCGGTGCCTGGCGCTCCAGTAGCTGTCGCTGAGACGGGTCAGGGCGCGGACTCGTGGGGCACTCGTCGTCGTGCGACACTCCACATGGACGACAGACGAGTCGATCGAGTGTTGCGGCATGGGGTGCAAGCAGCCAGACAGACTGCCCGAGTGCCAGATGGACGATGTCTTGACGAGTAGATAGAAGATCGACACAGAGTGAAAGGGAAAGGAAAACGAAGAAAAGGGCAACGGACGGAGCTGGTTGCTGCGGGGAGTTCGGCCAAATCAAAAGTGAGCGCGTGCGATTGCGCGCCAACCCGGAAAGAAACAATGGCATGTGCGCGAGAGACAGGTGGCCGCGCGCTCTCTTGCCTTGACTATGCGACCGAAGACGGTGTTGGTTTGGTCGAGCTTCGAGCGATTGGCCGCTTGGGTTTTCGGCCGTGCGTTGCCGGTGCGCCCTGTCGCTCGAGCCGAGTTGCCGCGCCCGGCGTGCGACGACGTCGTATTTTAACGGCAGTCTGCCAATCAGCGCGCGCGATCTGATAATCGCGCAGAGAAAAGACGGGGAGCAGCAAATGCAGCGATACTGGACGTGCTGCGGCCGAGCCAAACGCCGAACGCCAGAGATCAGGCGCCAAAGCCGTCTGGGATTTCCGCTCGCGCGTTGTCTTTCGCGTGGCTGGTGCTGTCGCGGCTGCCTTTCCCCTCTGTTGCGAGCAGACAGAGCGGAAAAGGGACGGTGACACCACATGGCTACATCGAGACACACAGACAGCGCCAGCGTAGTTTTGCACGATGAACAGTCGGCAACGTAGTCGCGCGGATACGCTCGTGCATAAAAGCGACCGCGTCTTGCTGTCCTATGAGTCACAGAGCGACACTGGACCACTCGGTGCCTGCACGTTGTCCAGCTGTTTTCGCAGTCGGTGCTGCAGGTCACGTCCGGTGCGCGTCGACCGCACCAAGTGACGCATCCTGCGTAGCCGTATTGGCGGCTGTTGATTGGCAGACTGGCGGGTCCACCGTGGCAAGTCCCTGTCGTGCCTTGCACCGCATGATTCGCACGGGTCGCTATTGTCGTAACAATATCGATCTGTATGTAGCAATGTGATGACTTGCGTGTAGCGACTAGACGACGCAGACGTAGTGAGTGTGTTCGGGTGTAGGTGTGGGTGTGTCTGAGTATGTAGCCATTGTCGACAGTGGAAGACCGAGAAACACTCACGACGTGTGCAGCATAGGGCAGTGGCGACTTACGAGCACGTGCTTTGTCATGTCGCACTGCATACATGCGCGCGAATGAATGAATGAATGAACGAACGAATGCAAAATGCTTGTTGTCGCACGTTTGTGCCGTGTTCGTGGTACATATCGCAGGAGGTCGCAAGTGTGTCGTGCGTGGTCCACAGGAATAAACGCCGCTCCGCGCCAAAGCTGAGCAGTATGGGCGACGAGCTCTTTTTGCGCGCGTGTTCACAACAGCCATACTGAAGTCAAGTCACTTGCACCAGCTGCTTCCCATCACCCCCTCGTCTGAGCGAGCGCACACGAGCGAGTTGCAGCGGGTGAGAGGCAAAGACAGAGCCCACGTCGCTCGCTCGACATGGTGCGGCCCAAGGCACGCAGCACGAACCTCACGCACGAGCAGAAGCGGCTCATCTGTCTGCACGCGCGGCAGTTTCCCAAGACCACACAGGCGCAACTGGGCCAATGGGCCAAGGACCAGTTCTCGCTCGATTACGTGCCGTCGCAGGCTGCGATGAGCTACATGCTCAAGAAACGCGCGCAGTTTGAGCTCGTGTCGGGCGAAGGGCGCGACTACAAGAAGCTGCGGACGGTCAAGTGCCCCGAGGTGGACTCGGCGCTGGCCGACTGGTTCTTGTATTGCCAAGTCCGAAGACTCCGACTCCCGGGGGATCTCGTGCGGCACAAAGCGCGCGTCTTTTACGAACTGCTGGCGCCGCAGCTGCCCGAGAGCATCACGAGCTCACCGCCGCAGTTTTCGAATGGCTGGATGCATTCGTTCATGGGACGACATGGCTTCTCGCTCGGAGGAGGCAAAGGCAGCAAAGGACGGACGTCTCAAGGGAGTCATGACGCAGCTGACGGGAAGCCGAAGTTCGCCCCGGAAACGCTGGTGATCTCGACGCCGGACCACATCAAGGCAGCAATCGCAGGAGTGTTGCCCGAGAACGTCTACTGGCTGCACGAGACGCGGCTGTTTTACGCAATGAGTCCCGACAGACAGGTGTTGCCATCGAACCATCACCCGGAGAAGAAGATGACAATGCTGCTGGCTCTCAATGCCGACGGCAGTGATCGACTGAACCCATTTTTCGTCGGGCCACATCCGTTGCCGACTGATTCGGAGCTTGATGCAGAAGACCGCATGTACCAATTTGCCTGCAACCACAAAGCTTGGGTGCCGCCGACCTTGTTACGGAGTTGGCTCATGGCGCTGGACTGGCGCATGCGCGTGACCAATCGCCAGATTGTACTCATTGTCGACTCGATGGCGGCCATGTGCGTGCAAAAGGCGCCGCTGTCGAACGTGACAATGCACTTTGTGGAACGGAACCACGCCGGAGAGCTGTGTGTGCGAGCTCTCGAGATGGGCATTGTGGCAGCTGTCAAGCGGCGGTATCGCCACCGGCTCTTGGACTACGCACTTGATCGACGAGAGGAGGGACAGGTTGATATATATGATATCCCGCTGCTGAAGGTGGTCGAGTGGGTGGCCCAATGCTGGCAGCAAATCCCGCGGTCACGCATCATGGCCAGCTTTGCGCACTTGGGCGTGAACGCGGCAGGCGGGCCCGGAGCTGCACTTGTCTCGGAAGACCGCACGGACGACAAGCTGGATGCGCAGATTCAAGTGCTGCTCAAGCGGCTGAAACTCGTCAGTCCCATGCGGTTGATCGAAGTCGTGGCGCCGAGTTCGGAGAAGATGTTTGACGAAAACCTGACAGACGCCGACTTCGCTGACGCGGCACTGAATGCCTCTCACGGTACGGTGAGTATGCAACTGAGCTCGGACGATCTCACGCGCCATACCGTCATGCAAGAGGTCTTGCCTGGCGACCCATCGGACGCCCCGACGCCGTTCGATACAGCAGCAGCAGCAGCGGCACCAGCAGTAGGGCGTCCAGCTGCACCGCGTCGCACCGCTGGTCACAACGTCAGCGGAAACGACTACCCGGCCCCCCCTCCAGCAGGGATACCCTGGCTCATCATGGGATGACACGTGGCTGTCGTGGAACGCATCGCAACGTGCTACGACTGCTGCTACTGCTGCTGTCCGTCAACCCGTGAGCGACGTCGAAGCCGTGCAGACGACCATCCGATTGGCGACCGAGCTGAACTGTGACCCGGCAGTGCTGCTGGAGCTCCATCGAATCCAGACCGAGGTGGCCAGTCGCGACGCGAGCGCTGCGTCTCCTTCCGCTCCGGTACCTGCTACGACCGTGCGGAATGCCGGTATCTGCCAGTTCCGCTTCGGGGCGCCAACCCGACGACTGGTCTAAGCAGGTGCACACCACGTGCAGGCAGATGCGTAGTGTAGCCATTTCAATGTCGATTTGCACGTGTTGTGCCGCCTCATCCGAAAGTGCGGGCACAGCCGCTGTAATGTTTAAAACAATGTAGCTCTTTGGTGTTCTGTTCAACGCGGTGCTTCCATTCTTATTGGCCAAAAGGCAACCGATACACGCATTGTTTGCTCTGCCCAACGCAAGACCGCACGCAGCACATCCGTCAAGTGCTCCGCTACGTGCGCACGCGCCTGACGTACCCACAGCCCCGACGCGCGGCCACGAAAACGCCGCAGCAACATGTCGCACCGCAAGAAAGTGCTGCTCAAGCTGATCATTCTTGGCGACAGCGGGTACGTCCTCTCTGTCCGTGTAGACGAGAGAGTCCCTCTCCCTTCTCTTAATCTATCTATCTATCTATCTATCTATCTATCTATCTATCTATCTATCTATCTATCTATCTATCTATCTATCTATCTATCTATCTATCTATCTATCTATCTATCTATCTATCTATCTATCTATCTATCTATCTATCTATCTATCTATCTATCTATCTATCTATCTATCTATCTATCTATCTATCTATCTATCTATCTATCTATCTATCTATCTATCTATCTATCTATCTATCTATCTATCTATCTATCTATCTATCTATCTATCTATCTATCTATCTATCTATCTATCTATCTATCTATCTATCTATCTATCTATCTATCTATCTATCTATCTATCTATCTATCTATCTATCTATCTATCTATCTATCTATCTATCTATCTATCTATCTATCTATCTATCTATCTATCTATCTATCTATCTATCTATCTATCTATCTATCTATCTATCTATCTATCTATCTATCTATCTATCTATCTATCTATCTATCTATCTATCTATCTATCTATCTATCTATCTATCTATCTATCTATCTATCTATCTATCTATCTATCTATCTATCTATCTATCTATCTATCTATCTATCTATCTATCTATCTATCTATCTATCTATCTATCTATCTATCTATCTATCTATCTATCTATCTATCTATCTATCTGTCTACCTGTCTATCTTCTCTCTCTCTCTCGGCACTTTGTTGCAGCAAAGCGGTCGTTGCGTCACTAATTGATCGATTGCTCTCTTGTTTCTAGTGTCGGCAAGACGTCGCTCATGAATCAATACGTGAACGAGAAGTTCAGCAGTCAGTACAAAGCCACGATCGGCGCTGATTTCCTCACCAAAGAGATTGTACTGGAGGACAAAGTGGTGACGATGCAGATCTGGGACACGGCGGGTCAGGAGCGCTTCCAGAGTCTTGGCGTCGCTTTCTATCGAGGCGCTGATGCCTGTGTGCTGGTCTATGATGTCACGAACGCAAAGGTCGGTATAAAAAAGCGTGGACGTGGACGACGAAGAGGAGAGAAGGCGAGACGATGGCGGTATGCTGATATGCTAATGCTGTAGTTGAACTCACTCTAGTCGTTCGAGAAGCTGGACGCGTGGCGAGATGAGTTCTTGGCACAAGCGGGACCACGAGATCCGGACGCGTTTCCGTTTATTGTACTGGGCAACAAAGTCGACAAGGAGTCGGACCGAAGGGTGAGAATGACTGCGGACGAAGCTTTGAGCAGGGGCTATTTCGATTTGGCTGCTGCGTGGTTGTCGGTCGTGCTGATTCTTTTCTCCTTGTGTTGTTGCGGGGCAGATTCATAAGGAGAAGGCGCAAGAGTGGTGCCGTAGCAAAAATGCACATCCGGTAAGTCGTTAGGTATTGGTTAGTTTGCTGAAACAAATGTCCATTTCGTCGCTGACGCTGTTTTCTATCGATGACCGGTCAGCCGATCGAGCACTTTGAGACAAGCGCGAAAGAAGCCACAAGTGTAGCAGAAGCTTTCCGGACAATCGCGGGCTCGGCTTTGCAGAAAGGCCAGGAAGACGACATGTACGTGCTGGGTACAGCCGAAGCTGCTGCTACGGCGTCAGGACTGACACACGTTGCTTTGGTTGCTGCAGCTACGTACCTGAGACGATCGATCTCAGTGGCACATTACCGAAACGGGAGAGCTCGTCATGCTGCTAGGCCATGACGCGTGTGCTGCACAGCGGCAGAAGGGCAGCTTGATGTGAACGTGTATGTTGTCCTCGACATGCGGTGGGGCACAAGCGAGCAAGGGGAGCAAGTCAGGCTAGCCGAGCGCAGCCCCACTTTCTTTTCGTTGAACGAGAACTTTGTTTGACCTTCTCCAAACTGGAGCCGTGTTCTCACTCGTTCCGACGTCACTTGTCCCTTAGCTGCCATCTCGATGAAGAGCCTGTCAATGTCTTGTTGTCTACAAGCGACGACACACTGACTTCCTTCGTGTTCTGTTTCTTCAGTGCGACTCAAAGACCTTCAAGCTGCTCATATTTAGACTGCTAACTCGTCTTTGCTACGCGCACGCCGCCTACATCATAGACAAGAAGACTGCGGTAGCTAAGCCACATCTTGTCGGTCGAATGCCATCTCTTGACAACTTCGTTCTATTACACCAGCTTGCTTCATCCCCGGTCGCTCCAATTATGTCGTTTCACAGTCGCTCTCAAACTGTGCGTGAATGTGCGAACCCTGCGCCACAACGACAAAAAGTCGGGTCTGAGCACCTACATACATTCTTTGCGCATCATACCATTTTCCATCGGCTAGAGGCATCTGATGCGCGACGCCATGACAATTATGCTGCCTTCGGGTCTTCCAAATAGAACGGATGGAACGAGATCAAGCCACTGCTCCAAGCAACGCTCAGCAATGCACCGTGCTCAAACTTCGAGGCAAACGCGAGCTGCCGTGGTAAGCCGGCGTTCGGGGGACCGCGCAGCAGACCACTACAAAGCAGTACCAGAGTTAGTCTACTTCTGCCAACAACAGGCGCGTGAGCTCCATAGGTCATGCACAACAAACCTCCGCGTGAAAATCAAGAACGGCTGCCATACGACGCTGAAAATGCAAACCAATGGCGCTATTCCAGCTTCATGGGAGTCACTCGCTTCAGTTCGATACGTTACAGCTACCCTGGATCCGCTGGGGTCCCATGCAATGCTCTGAACATAGCCACCAACGATGCTAAGCGACACGTGACACACAAATCCATCGATCGAATCAGCATCCTTCTTTCCCAATGAATCAAGCACAGCGCGTGCCACGTACGCAGAGGTACTTCGGTCCAGCGACACGAGCGTCTCCTGCGTGAAGTCCAAAGCTGGCGAGCTGATCTGTGCATCTGTATCAGCATGCAAGCGTCACCGAGTTGGTACACGCAACGTGACAGCTCAAACGGGGCAGCAACGCGTACCGAATGACGGCGGGCAGTCCTGGAAGATGTAGGGATACAAGAGAGTAGAGTCCCGACGCGCCACCATCAGGCATCGTCCATCGCTCGACCAGCCGCAGCCCTGCAGCAATTCACGCGAGCAGGCAGTATTGCAACGATCAGGGCACATTCACGACTCAACGAAGCACACAGTCCACTCGCGTACATCCGCTGCGACCTCCCACGTTTCTCGTTTCCATGTCAGCGTTTCCCACATCAGCGACACGCCATCTCTAGCAACAACGCAACAACGCGTCAGCGACACGACAACTACACCCCACACTCCCAATCCACAGAGCGTGCACGTACTCGGTCAGCACAAACAGATACTCGCCCGTCGGCGACCAGTGCATCGACCGCAGCTTGTACGAACTCTCCAGCTCCGTCTTTCGCGAGAAAATGGCATCAAACACCACCACCACCGACGACCGCGAGCCGCTTGTCGCTAGCGCTGCGAGCAAACTCCCGTCTTCGTTCCAGCTCACTTGCTGGAACCCGCCGCTGCTCGGATGCTGCAGTATCTCCTTCAGCACAGGCTCTGCACACCCACCACAACAGTCACGCACTGAGCTCCACAACGTCACCACCGTCTCCTCCTCCTCCTGGTCCAGCCACCCGCCCGCACTCGCCCCTCACTCACCTGTGCGTCCGCGGCTCACGGGCACTGTCCACAGCAACACGCCCGAGCTGCACGCCACGGCCAGCGTCTCGCCCGTGTACCTGCCCCACGCAACGCTGCGCACGTCCGTCTGCGCCGGGTGCTCCAGCACGCGCGTGTCCCACGACGCGCTCTCTACGTGGTACAATGCGACCACATCGTCCCGTTGTGCGACGGCCAACACGTTCTCCGTCCAGTGCCAACTCACGTCCACAATGCACTCGCGCGACGCGCTATCGGTCGGTAACTCCCCTCGCAGCCGCTTCGGCGTCGGCTCCCGCGACCCCATTGCCGCTGTGCGCAGCCACTCGGCCACGTCCACTGCTGCGTCCTGCGCGCGCTGCCGTACGTCCGCTCCATCGCTTAGCACGAGCGCTTTCGCAGTCGCTACTACGCGCTCCAGTAGCGGCGCGCGTTCGTGCGGCTGCTCGTGCGTCGACGCGCGCGGCCGCTGCGGCCGACAGCTGGTGACACGCGCGGGGTGCAACGCACGACCTCCGCGGCGGGTAAAGTCGTCGCTGAGGGTGTCGCAGTCGTGGCGGGCGACGCTGTAGAGCTCTCCGCGGAGCTCGCCGAGCGTCACGGCATCTTGCGGCGGGAGGACCCACGGCATTGTTGTTCGAATGTAGCGGATGGCGGGTGGGTGGGTGGATCGATGGTGGCAAGAGGCCGTGGCAGCGATCGTCGATCGCGTGGGTCTTTTTGCGATTGACGGTTGTGTTTCCGCGCATATGTGGGTAGATGCAGCGTAACTGTCGATGTGATGTGTTGCTATGCGGTCTTGCTATCCGGTCGACGTATGCTGTATGTACACGGCTACTACTGCAACACGGCGAGTTGACAGCTGCGGAAGTTTGCTGCGTGGGCGCCATCTGTTCGTTTGCGACAATGGTTTCTTTTTTATGTTGATACGTTGTCTCGAGATACTGTGTTTGTGTGTGTGTGTGTCCAGTGGATGTGGGCGGTAAAGTATCGGTAAATTACCGTCGCGTCCTGTCCTTTGGTCGGGTCGAGTCGCCATTGTGGCATGCGACCGCTGCGAGTCGACGTCGCTGCGTCCGGCACCGCGTCCAGCGTCGCGCGCGTGTCCCCCGCGACGTTCCAGTGCCACGGCGCTTCCTATGGGTCGTACGTGTCGCTTCAGTGCAGCGACGCGCACCGACTGCGCGTTTTTCGGCTGGAAATGGACCCACAGATCGGTGACGCCGACCGCATAGTGGTCGATCATTGGCCCTTTGTAGACGACGCGGACGAGCGCTCTTGTGACGATGGAAATGACTGTATACCGAACACAAGTGTCGTCGTACAGGCGACTTGTGTCGCCCCTTGTTATGTTCCAGTGGCGCAGCTGGTGACGCTCGCGCCTGGAGGGGGTCACAAGCAGCCGCAGTTGGCGCTCGCGTTCGTCCAGAGGTTACTCGAGCGTCGCATTTTGATGGATCGGTCGGGAAAAATTGCTCTGCAGTGGGAGGGCGTCGACTATGGCGAGTGGACGTATGAGGCGTTTTTCCGAGGACGGTGTCAAGAGCCTGACGATACTCGAGTCGGGACGGGGTTCGATGGCGGCATTGTGACGGACCAGACGCTCGTGCTGCTGGTTCCGTCCATGACGTTGTCAGTAGCTCCTGCATCGCATGAATCACAGCGGTACTATCCACTGGGAGTTCACGCTCGAGCGTGCCGAGAGCTAGTGGCGATGGCGATACGGCAGTCGTCGAGCTGTGGGGCAGATGAGGCAAACCTAGCTTTGATAACTCCCTATTCACTGTTGCTGCACGCTCCGAGCGGCGCAGGCAAGACAACACTGGTCAAGCAAATTGCAGAGGACTTGGCAGCGACTTTGCTCGTGCTGGACTGCGGACTGTTAGCGTCGCCGCAATTGCGGCTGGAAGATGTGTTCTCGGCTGCACTTCGCGTTCAGCCGTGTGTGCTATTGCTAGAAGATCTGGAACTGATGTTTCCGATGACGCTGGACGAATCGAAGTACCGACTTGTTTGCCGCCTTGTACAGTGCTTCGACAGTATTCGTACGCGTCAAGCGTTTGCTCACCGATGGTTGCACCAACTCGCGAGGCTGACATTTTCTTGTTCTGTTGCACTGTAGAAAAGTCGGGTCTCGTCCGCATTGCAGTCGTTGGAACTGTGTCGTTGCTCAGTGCGCTGCACTCCAAAGTACGACAGTTGTTCGTGGAAGAAGTGTATCTCGACGTACGTTTGCTTGCAGATGGCTTGCTAGCCTGCACACGACAGTCTTATCTAACTCCAGCAACGTTGTGGCTGCACAGGTCCCTGAGAAACAGTGGACTGTCGGCCTACTCGAGTCATTGCTACCATCCTCACGCATGCTGCGTCATGAGTTCATTACGTCCTTGGCTGTTCGTTATGGCCAACGACCGAGCAACGTTGCGTCTATTGCTCGGCAAATTTGCGCTCGTCTGTCACGAGAAGATAGCCACGTTGGTTCTGTGGATCGTTTTGAAGCCGAAATTGCCGCTTTTGCGCGTGACATCTCCAGCAATGGCAATGGGGCTGACACGCTCAGTGTTTCCATCCCAGACGTCTCATGGGATGACATTGGTGGGCTAGAGTGCGTGAAACAAAAGCTAGTTGAGATGGCAGTGTGGCCGTTGGAGAAGCCCCACGTGTTTCGTCGGATGGGCATTTCTCCGCCTTTGGGTATGGTGTTGCACGGTCCACCAGGAACGGGAAAGACCATGCTTGCCAAAGCTACAGCAAAAGCGAGTGGCTGCAACTTTCTCACTTTAGCAGCAAGTGACCTCATGAGAGCTGAAATCGGCGAAAGTGAGAAGTCGATAACGCGCGCGTTCGACACGGCCCGTGCACTCAGTCCTTGCATGGTCTTCATCGACGAGTTCCAGTCCCTCTTCGGCAACCGATCAACAGCTGGCCAGACAACTTCTAGGATGATTTCTCAGCTCTTGATGGAACTAGATGCGCTGAAAGCAGTGTCCGACGACATGGATACTCACGGTCAAGTCCATGCGTCTACCAGCGTTGCTGCTGGCCGAGTGTTTGTGCTCGTGGCAACGAATGCATTGTCTGCCATTGATCCTGCGTTCCTCCAACCAGGTGCGCGTGTATTTTCGATGCCCTTTCTGGGATCTGCAGCGCACTGACGCGTCACTGTGTTTCGCTTTGTTCCTTTCTCCAGGACGGTTTGAGAATGTGGTGTATGTTGGTCTTCCGGATGCCAGCGAGCGTAAGGCCATCATGGAGACTCAACGCAAGAAAATGCCGTGGAGCCACGACGTCGACATCGCCACACTTGTCGAAGACACAGACGGCGCTAATGCTGCATCAATGATTGCACTGTGCCAGGCTGCAGCTATTCAGGCCATGCAACGGGTAGCTCCCGACGCACCATTAGACGAACAGGTACACAAGCTCGGTTGCTTGTCCGGCGGTATGTTATTGACGTGATTCTTGTTTGATGGACGCAGTGCATTGCAATGATCGACTTCACCGCAGCTTTAGCAAAAGGGAATTTTGACTTTCAAGACCGATAGATGAGCTCCGCGGACCGCCAACTATGGCATCGTTGTATGGGTTCATTTAAGTCGTCGTCGACACAATTCTCTAAACGTCGAAGCTCGCGTACGCAAGCAGCGCTGTTTTGACATCTGGAGGAAACGCAAACATGGACAGCTCGCTCTGGAACACCTCCGTGATGCGATAAAGGCCACTGTCGATACCTGTGTGCAGCAAACAGCCATTCGTCCGTAAGCCAAGATGACGTCAAACCAGCTTTGCAGCACTGCTCACCTTTGGCTAGGGCCGTGGTTTCTTGTACGTATCTATCGTTCGTACTGCTCTCTTTCAAACACGTCTCCATGTAAGCATCTAACGCTTTGCGGCACTCGAGAAGCGACGAAACGACGGCCGGTATGGTATGCTTCGTTGCATTCCAAGACAACCAACCGGTCAGAGTTTGTGATCAAGCAAGATTGCAAACAAGACGCCACGCACGAACCTGCACATATCCCTGCTTGTCTTCTGCACGCGACACGCTGACAAGATGACACAGAAGACATTCCGCTACACGTACAACTTTGACACGCTGGAACACGCGCCGACGAGCTTCTTCAATGAGGAAACGACGGACCGCAAACTGCAGTTTGGACTCGACGAAAAACCGGACTGGCGAATTTACACTAGCAGACGAGATGCGAAGGTTTGCGAGGTGCGGGTACTGGTGCAGAAGAATCAACGGATGCGCGTTCTGCTGCGAGCTCAAGAAACGCAGGAGGGAAGCAAACGACCGCTCAAGAGCCAACGCGCTGGTATCGTCTGCAGAGCTTTTCCTATCCTGCAGCGAATTCAGCAGGTGCAACATCAGCGTGAACCCATCGACGGCCGCAGTGGTCGAGCTGAACAATGCATTCCATCGCTCTCGAGAGGCAAACAACGACGCTCGCGCGGCCGTAGCAAACTTGCATCCGGTAAGCAAGTTCTCAAACTTGAACAGACTGTCCAGAGTATTCACGTCTTCCGCATCCGCAGGGGCAACAGGTGCCTTCTTGTCCAAGATGCGCTGCAAAGCTGCATCCTTGCGTTTCTGTAACCCTCGCAAATACTGTTCATTCAGCGGAACACTTGTCTGCGGCACTACAGCAACCTCAGTGGCGAAAAGAGCACCTGCCACATCCCCTTCGTTCGGCTTTGCATCGACAAGTGACTCCCACAAGTTGTTCGCGCCGTCAAACGCACTGCCAAGAACCTGATAGCTCGCGCGGAAGAGCAGTATACGGGACACGGAAGCCGCACTCAAGATCGCACCATTTTCCAGCACACTGCTCGTGATCTGAAACGCCACTCTGGACGCACCGAGGGACAGAAACCCACCTTCCACCGTCTCGACAGCCACGTCCGTGCTGCAACACCAGAGCCAGCTCAACACGCGTCCCACAACGTACGTGACCACTCCGCGACGTGCCGCCCGCACGACGTCTCGCTGCAACATCTTTCCAAAAGCAGCTCGTGGATCCAACACGAACGGATCGTCGCTCAGTCGCTCGTCCATTACGACGTACGCCACAAACGACACGAGACCGCCCGCGACAGCAAACGGGCCAACCGCCGCGTCACTCAGCGCACTGGAGGCCATACCGTAGTACAGCACCAGCTGCCAGAGGTACGAGTGGCCGACACACAGCACAAATAGCAGCGACAGCTGCGGCTGCGTCTGCACGCGCGTGACGACGTCCACGAGCGCACGTACAGCTGCTTGGAGCCCTCTGCGCGCACGTCGCTCGGGTCCGGTCGCTTCTGCGCGACGCGGATGGGGCACGAGCGCGTACCGGAGCGTGAGCTGCGCGACGTTCAGTGTCCAGAGCAGTGCTACGACCAGCAGAAACGCAAGAAACGACAGACAGTCCAGCGGCGAGAGCACTGGCGCGAGGCACAGGAGCAGCAGAGGGAGAAATACAGCGCTGAACGACGTGAGCGCGACAGCCCGCAGCGTCTGCTGCAACCGCTGCTGCAGGTGCGGGTAGGGGAGAGCGGGGCACGAGACGCACGATGGCGCGCCGCGGAAGCGCGTGGCGTACAGCTGCAGCAGCGCGTGCAGCAGCTCGAGCGTGTGCGCGAGGCCCATGCGCGCGATCGATGGCCAGCAGGCGGAAAAGGGATGGCTACTTAGTGGAGAGCGGGTGTGGACACTTGATCGAAGACACCGCAGTGTGCGCGCATGCTGTTGGATAGGATCGTCTTAAGTGGGAGTGTCGGAATATCGGGATATACTTGGTGGGGGGGGGGGCTAGGCTCGCATGATCAATGGCTTTGATCAAAGACGTAGCTGCTCTTTCGATTGTTGCTAGCGCAGTGTCGTCCATTTCTGGACAACCGGCGTCCGTCAATTAACGGCCTTGGCTATGCGTGAGCATAGAGGGGCGTCGACAGTTCTTCGAGGGGCTCGATTACATGCCTCCCTTGAACTTTTTACTCTTGAGGCTAGCGGAGTTTCGCTACCACTAGAGAGGTGCCTTGATCCACCGCCGCGACCGGCGCTGTATTCTAGGCTTAGAAGATTTCAGACTTCTAGCGCGTAACCATCATGTGCAATAGACAGTCATGAATCTCTCTCTCTCGATTGTTGCTAGCGCAGATATTTCGAGGTACGTTGCGCTGCGGGAGGTTTGAAACGAAGGCAAAGAGATATTGTCATGGATTGGGTTCCCAGCAGATGGCGCAGCAGATGGCGCGGCAGAAGTCGTCGGATGTTTGGGTTTGTTGTTCACGTGGATGCGGTTCGCGTAGAACCTCCTTCGAAATGCATCAACGATTTAGGCATCGGTCCACGTGTCAAGCATGTCTGGATGATCATGTAAAGCCTCCCAATACGACACCATGCAGTACGACATTACATGACCTCATGATGCAAGATAGGATTGCAAATGTAATGTTGTGGCGTGTATCCCACTAGCACATCGAGCAAACGTTAAGGTTGCAAACTGCACACGATGCCTAGCAGCACTACTTGCGACTGCAGGCAGGGCACTTTCCACGTGACCTCCATCAGAGTACAGCGAGCAAATACCACCACGTTCACTAACAGTGTACTGCGATGCCACCCACAACATTGCAATACAACACGGGGTTGAAGTAGTCCGCGGCGTGCGATCGCTGCAGCCATCGACTTCAAATCCTCGCATTGGGTACCTGGGTGTGCTATACGTAGGGTCGTCTATCGATGGATAGGGCGTGGCTGGGAACTACACTTTTCCACTACGTTACCTGACGAAGTCCCTCCTCCGGAGGGTTCTGATTATCAACTACGCGCGGTGCGTCAATTTTGGGGGACGTTTGGCTGGTCCGGCAATCCGTGGATCCGGGATGCTAAAGGTGTGAAGTTGTTGCACTCGAAGTTCAATCAAATAGCCGCCTGCTCTATCGCTGACCTGCACATTTGGAGGACGGGCCCGACCACCTATGTTTTCACCATCCCGCCCTCGCGGTCAGAGGGAGTCACGTATTCCCAGCCGAAGCTTCGCCGGTGGGCGACAGCAATTTTATTGGCGTCTCCGTTATGTACGGTCGGGTCAGAATTGGGCGTGGCGGCAGCATTATCTCTTCGGCATCCCCCCCCATTTCGTTATGAATATGACTGGGTCACTGTGAGTCGGGGTTGCGTCGTGGGAGCTCGCAGGAATTCACTAGAGGAGAGAGACGGAATGGTGCAGTTACGCCAGGGCTCCGATGGGCTGCATTGGTTGTTTCAAGACGGCCTACCCGAGCTCCACACGGCGTCGGACGGTGACAGCCAGCGATGGGCTACGCACATCCGGCAGCACGGCGTGGTCTTTTATGCTCACCCAAGTCACCACCACTTTGCGTGGGGAGTACCCGAAACGGTTCCTAATGGAGCTCTCCGTCAGGCTATTTTGCACCGGGCTTTCTCGCTGCACAAACACCGACTAACTCGGCCTTTACTACCCTTATTGGAGCGGCTGGATGCAGTCTATCGAGAGGATTCGTGGCTAAGGGCGGCGGCGCATCAGCAACCATCCCAACTTTGGAAACATGATAACGGACTCTCCGACTATCAAGTTTGGACGGCGTATCGAGTCGCCACCAAGCAGCTAAATTTTCATCATGCCGGGCGGGCTGCCGACCCCAGCTGCCGGGCCCTGCCTACGTGTCACGGGGTGCCCGAAACGTCGAGGCACGTCTTTTGGGATTGTCAGAAGGCGCGGGCGTGCTGGGCTAAGTTCATCAGCCATTGGATCGGCGCTTCTGTGTCGAGTGCGGTAGTCCATAGTTGTCTCAGCAACTGTGCGAATCGACAGGCTCCGGCGATCCCGGCGTTTCAGCGGTCTCGGTTGCTCGAGCGGTTTCACGATGATGCCGCAGCGGGGGAAAAGGTGTGGCGACGGATTTGGTTTTTAATGTGTTCCGTTTGCATTACGCATTTATGGAGCGAGCGCAACGATGCCGTGTTCAGAGGCGTGCAGTCTACGACGGCTCAAAGTGTCGTCCATTTCTGGACAACCGGCGTCCGTCAATTAACGGCCTTGGCTATGCGTGAGCATAGAGGGGCGTCGACAGTTCTTCGAGGGGCTCGATTACATGCCTCCCTTGAACTTTTTACTCTTGAGGCTAGCGGAGTTTCGCTACCACTAGAGAGGTGCCTTGATCCACCGCCGCGACCGGCGCTGTATTCTAGGCTTAGAAGATTTCAGACTTTAGCGCGTAACCATCATGTGCAATAGACAGTCATGAATCTCTCTCTACGTAGGGTCGTCTGTACGTGTGCTCATCCAAACGACTCTTTGCCAACGCGCCTTTCCTTTGGTCGATCATAGTCGACACGCAGCCACCAGCTTCGAGCCAACATACCGTTTTCCTTCACTACACATTCGAGGTGTGTGCGGTCGTTGAACTAGAGAACGTCGTGTCTGAAGCCATGACCAAGTACTACTACTCAACGAGTCGAATGTGGCGCATCATCGATCGACACGGCCTAATCGCTCCGATATGTACTACCAACTTACCGACACGAAAAAGTGGCATAATGACGTCCAAGCGCATGAGATGGCACGACTCAGCGCGACGCACGACGCGTTACGCACCAACCGCTACGACAGAAGTGTCGCTGTGTTGCCAATTTCTTCGTTGAATCAGCACAATGATCTGTGTTCATCAGATCTTCTGCGATTGATGGCTGCACGATACGTCTTAACAACTGCGCATACGATACCAAACGCCTGGAATGGCACCCTGCGTCCCACGTGACTATCAGCGCTTTGCGTCCAGCACTCGAGCACTTCCCAGTTCCAGTTCCTCTGCGTACTGCGTGGACTGACCTGCAGTTGTCGCCGTCGTCGTGACGCGAAATCTGTGTCGTCGACGAATTTTTGCATCACGGTCACAATCGGATTAGATGACCGCTCTGGTGAGACACTGTCGTGCTGCTGCTGCACGAGGTCCTGAAGATGGTTCCTGATGGGGATGGCAGATCCACTGGCGTCAGGCAAAGGCGCCACTCTCCCGTCATGTCTTCGAAGGCCGTCAGGAGTGCGTGCTGTGGTATACAGTGGCCCCGTCACTCGTGCATACGCCCAGCATTTCTCCACTGAGCTCGTACCCACATTAGCATCTGACCCCTTTCGTTCGCGTTCAGTTTGACAACCAAGTTGCCTTCACCATAACTCGCTCTTCGGATCGCAGTCCCTGTTGTTCGGCCATTACGTGTACACAGAGAGGGATCCACAGTCCCCTAACGAGAGACGTATACATCGCAGTGCACGTAGCGCCCATCAACAAGACGTCTGCCACCGCCACCGACCAGAATGGGCTCAAAGCCAAGTGCACCTGCATGCCGTACCCACTATCAGGCCGTGGAAGTGTGGGTTTGCTCCCTCTTTTCTGGCTCATGACTTCTACCTCCTGCGCGCTGAAGGGGTGTACAAGCACACGTCTCTCCTTTCTGCACATCCGCTCCCGGCCTTCCCATGAACAGTCTGCCACAACCCGCAGCGTCGGGGGGGGGGGGGTCGCAAACAACAACAGCTGAACTTCCTCCCAGAGCTCCTCACTCTCGATACAGAGAGAAATAACGACCGTCACGACATCGTTACGGTCGCAGTCGTCTTCTCAGCTGCTGTTAAGAGCGTCGGCGTACGTCTCGTTGCAACTCGTTTTGCTGTCCCCCCACCCGAACGCCAACAGTTTCGAGCATAACCGACAGACAGACACACAGACAGACAGACAGACAGACAGACAGACAGACAGACAGACAGACAGACAGATAGACAGACAGATAGATAGACAGACGGACAGACTGACTGACTGACTGATTCAATGCCAGGTCGACGACACATGTCGCTGCTCCTCGATCGCTTGTCCTATTTGGCAGTTCTGTCGCCCATCCTTCGAGCACAAGATTCATTTGGTTGAAGTGCACCTGATCATCACCAGTTCCATCCGACCGCAAAGAAGCACATGTCCCAGCTACAAACCGTTTCGGACCTCTCTGCCCGAACCGATCGGGCGACAAAGTCAGCCGCTGGATCGCAATCGCTTTGGCCGCTATCGGACGCCCCACCGGCGCCACTCGTTGCGCTCGGCAGAAGCCTTTCAGCCCCTCGCGCAGAGTCAAAGCAGTTTACACGCACAGAGCTTTGGCCGCCCGCAAACGAAGCGATTGCGATGGGAACTCGCACTCGAATGCGATTTGTTTGACTCGGACGGGCAGACCAGAGCCGCTCGGGTGGACAGGCGGGCGCGGCCGTCGAGTCGCACAGCCTGCGCCGTGATCACACACAGCGTAACGTCTGCTTTCGACCGGCACTTCTGGTCCGCGCAAAGCCCCACCGAGCGGAGAGTCGAGTCGAGTCGTGCTTTGGTGTTTGTTGCCGCCTTCCGTCATTGTCGGACTTGCAGCCTCCCAGCACAAGCCGTGTTCAAGCTGCGTCCAAGTCCCTTTCGCCACACCCGACGACGTGCGCTCTCTCGTTCAATGTGGACACGTTGGATCGCTGCTTGCAGCTTGGCAGCGCTCGGCGCAACGGCTGAGGTGACTGTATCTGGACGTCCTGTTGCAGCAACAGCAGCAGCTGCTGCATTGACCAGCAGTGATGACTCCATTGACGCCCGAGCTCAAGCCATTGTGGACAGTTTCTCGGCAATGGACGTGATCGGAGAGATGACCCAAGTCGACATCAGCACGGTCATGAACTCCGCGAACAACACGCTGGACGAGGACAAAGTTCGCGCCCACGCTAAACTGCACATCGGGTCGTACCTCAACTCGTACTTCTCCGAGCGCAGGGGCAACGGCACTGGCTGGTCCGTCACGGAATTCCGTGCACTGGTCGCGCGTATCCAGGAGATCACCATGGAGGAGAACGGTGGGCACCCGATCCTCTACGGCCTCGATTCCGTGCACGGAGCGAACTACGTCGGAGGAGCCGTTATCTTCCCGCAGCAGATCAACATGGGCGCGAGTTTCAACCCCAAGTTAGTGTACCAAGCAGGACAAATCACGGCCCGCGACACGGAAGCTGCTGGCATCCCGTGGATCTTTGCACCGATTCTAGAGGTCTCGTACAATCCGTTGTGGGCCCGCACGTTTGAGACGTTCAGCGAGGATCCCTACGTGGTCTCTGTCATGGGCGACGCTCTTGTGCGGGGTCTGCAGAGCTATGAACAGACCGCGGCCTGCATAAAACACTTTATCGCGTACTCCAAGACCACGAGGGGTCACGATCGCGAAGACGCCAGCTTGTCTGACTTTGAACTTCTCAACCACTACATGCCGCCGTTCAAAGCCGCTATTGACGCTGGTGCCATGACGATGATGGAGAACTACGTCTCGATCAATGGTGAACCGGTTGTGGCGAGCTCTCGCATTTTGAACGACCTGCTTCGCTCCGACCTCGGGTTCGACGGTCTGCTTGTTACGGATTGGGCTGAGATCAACAATCTCAAGGACTGGCATCGCGTTGCGCAAACCCAAGAGGACGCCGTGGCCTTGTCACTGACGCATACGTCGATTGACATGAGCATGGTACCCACCGACACGAAGTTCATCGACCACGCAAAGAAGATGCTGGAGAAGCACCCGGAACAAGAAGCTCGGCTGCGGGAGTCCGCCAAGCGTATCGTGAAGACAAAGTTGAAGCTGGGGTTGTACAAGAACCCGGTCCCTGGTGAGCAGTACGTCTCCATGGTGGGTAACGACGACGACGTGCACGCTGCTCTGACAATGGCTCGCGAATCGATCGTGCTCCTGAAGAATGCTAACGACGTTCTGCCGCTGTCCAAGAAAGCGTCCGTCTTCCTCACGGGCCACTCTGCTGACAACGTCGGCTACCAATGTGGCGGGTGGAGCAGATCATGGCAAGGATACTCGGGCAATGAGCTGTTTCCCCACGGCATCAGCGTTCGCCAGGGCTTTGAAGACTTGGTCGGTAACGACTCCTTTACGTACTTCAACGGACTGCTCGCGGACGGCAACATCTCGGACGCGGACTTGGCGAAGGCTGTCGAGCATGCCAGCAAGCACGAGTACACGGTTGCTGTCATTGGTGAAGCCAATTACGCTGAAAAGCCAGGCGACATCGATGACTTGGCGCTGCCTGCAGGCCAGGTGAGGTACATCGAGGCTCTGAGTAGGACCAAGACCAAGGTGATCGTCGTGTTGTTTGAAGGCCGCCCTCGACTGCTTGGTTCGATCCCGGACAACGCGGTAGCCATAATTGACGGCTTGCTGCCCTGCGAGCTCGGTGGCCAGGCAATGGCTGAGATTATCTACGGTGTGGTGAACCCGAGTGGTCGACTGCCGCTCACGTACCCGAAGGACCAAGCAAACATTGCCATTCCATACAACCACCTCGTCACCACTCGCTGTGCGAGCGACAACTGCCGGATGGAATTTGAGTTCGGCGCGGGTCTCAGCTACACGCAGTTCAATTACTCGGGTCTGAGCCTGGACACGACGCGCCTGACGAGTGCGTCCGCAACTGTCACTGCGAAGGTGACCGTTGCGAACACGGGCAATCGTGCCGGCAATGAGACGGTGATGTTGTTCGTGATCCAGCCGTACCGCTCGATCTCGGTGCCGGAGATGAAGCTGCTGAAGAAATTCACGAAGATTGAGCTGCAGGCTGGCGAGTCGGCGGACGTCTCGTTCAAGCTGACCATCGACGACTTGAGCGTGTATGACCCGCAGATCGGTAAAGGCTTGAAGCGCGTGTTCGAGGACAGCGACTATGTCGTGGCCATCAAGCCGGACACGTGGTGCGACGTGTACAACAACATCACAAACCCGTTGTGTGCCGAGTTCAGCATTGACACCAGGGGTGGCGACGGCCCAGCGCTGGTTGACACCGACGAGGTTGAAGACACAACGCAGCTTGACATCGATGGTGATGATGATGAAGACCCAGCGCGGGTTAGCGCCAGTGGTGACGAAAGTAACCCGCTCGTTGACGTCGGCGTGACGCTTAGGTAGCTCGTCTCCTACAATTTCAAGACCAAGATCAACACTTCGTGAATGCACATCTCGCCTTTTTTGCACTTCCCTTTGTGTTTACCGTCTTTGCTTCATCCAGTTATGCTTTCTAGTTGCCAAGAAACGTCAGTCCTGGAACACACGTCGTGCTTTGCTCCCTATTTGTCATGGTTTGTACTGCTTGTCGTGCAACAACCACTGCGAATCAGGAAGCTTCGTGGAACACAGCTGGGCATTTCCTAGTCATGGACGACGTGACGATCGACAGCTGCTACGCCAAGTTGAGTCGTGCAATCGATAGACACGTCTCCATTGGTACTGAGAACATTCATTTACGATACGTCGTCAACAGGGGTCAACAACACATAGAGCGTGTTCGTCAACTACAGCATAGACACTTAGCTATTGTACTACTGCGTTCCTGTCGGGGATGTCGTATTCAACAACGCGCGCGCTGCAAACACACATGTGCTCGTGGAAATCGACCATGCGTGGTGAGAAAGACTATTCCCACGAAGGCGGGCTACAATGGGCAGCAATGGACGATGCGTGGCGAATGAGACTATACAGATTGGTCCATGAGGACGTTCTCAATAAGCTCCTGGCTGGCTGTGATGTTGCCCGCCACCGTTCCCAACATAAAGTCTGTCAGCGCACGTACAGCCGCGGAATCGTAGACAGTATGATCTTCCTTTTCTGGCGATACCAATGAGCACAGCTGTAAGAGTGAAAACTCACGGTTCGGCGTGGACACCTTCGCCTTTTTGGTGAGGGCGTACCCTTGGTGCCGGAACCCGAGACCCTTGACGCACTTGTCGTCAAACTCGAGCGGCACGACGCTCGCTACCCAGATCACGATCTCGCGGTCTTCTTCGACGTATCGTCGCAGAACCTGCTTTGCGTGGAAATCTGCGCGTGCGCTGTCTGCAAAAAACTCCTTTGCAAAGTCCTCAATAATCGTTTCCGGTGTGTCTGGTGTTGCCAAGTGCTGCTCGAACAAACAAGCAAACAAAGCAAGCAAAGCAAGCAAAGCAAGCAAACAAGCAAACCAAGCAAACAAACAAACGAACAAACCATAGTCAGTGTGACCACAAGCCACCATCGACATCAAAGCAGAATCTACTCATACCTTTGCCACTTTTCCTTCATACATGTTACCACGATGTTTCTCAGCTCCCTTGAAATGATTCCACACAGCTTGTGCCGTTGCGCGCATGCCAAAAGGCATCACTTTGCTCGCATAAATGTCAAGGTACATGCCACCACTTCCTTCGCGCATTCGAGCGTCGCGATACGTGGTCTCCATGTTCGCCATGCCATTAGTAGCAAACACATCGTCTACTTCTTTGTACGCTCTATCCAAATGCTTCAGCAAGTCCTCAAAATCACTCACGTCCGCACGGAAATCAAACGTGCGGCCTTGTGAATATTTGGACTTTTTCGTTTGCGATAAGTTCAAGCACTCGGTCACCTGACACACCGGAGCAACAACAAACACACACACACTCCTCGATCAGCACCCGCTCGTACTCACCACACCCACACCCACACCCGCGAGCGCGCTCCTCTCTCTCCCTCAACACACTGCATCGCACCTGCTGCTTTGCTCGCTTTTGCAGTAAACTCTCAAGACCTTTGGCCATTTTTATCTGATGCTCCAGAATCAGCTTGAGCCGAACGTTCTCGCGCTCGGCCTTCTCCCTCCGCCGGCGCTGACGACAGGCCACGTCCTTCCACACTGTTGGTATCTGCACTGCCGGGTCGTACACTGATACGGTCGACGCAGGAACTGCTTCCTGTTTGGGAACCCGTCGTTTCTCGCCATTGTAGCGAAGAGCTCTCGTCTGCTGCGCTCGCGGGTGGAGCCGCAAGGCTTTCAGCTCCAGCTCCAGCTGCGCCACCTTCTCCCGGAGGAACGCGAGCTCAATCTTCCGCTCGTTCCGCGCTCGATTCGGGTCGCCCCTTGTCACGGGCTTCTTGGGTCCGCTCGACGGCGTCTGCGGGTTGCGTCGTGCGCGACCCATTCCGGACTTTAGTTTTTGCCCTGGACTTGACGGACTGAGGTTCTGACGCCGCGCACACGGGTCGTTCGACAGCTCGTAGCCTGTGCTCGACAACAGTGGTAGTGTATCGCTGCGCGGCACGTCCAGCGGGGCTCGGGGGCTCGGCAAAGGCGAAGTCAGAGGCGTCACACTGGGCGACAAGAGCTCAATGTCGTCGACGATAGCGGACGCGAGCGTCGACGAGAGTGCGGGCGGAGCGGCGCCACTGGTAGCAGCCGACGTCGTGAACAGCGACGTGTCGATAGAGTACTGTTCGACGAACGACAGCGCGGCTTCGAACGCGCGGACGGCGTCGTCGTCTTCGAGGAAGGCCATCGACGTCGGCGGAGGTGGCGGCGGCGGCGGTCGCACTTTGTGTGGCCGTACACAAAACACGGATTATCAGAGATTAGAGGGAACGCGGTGTTGAAGTGGGGCGAGACAGTTACGTGTCACGTGGACAAGCGCCTGAGGACGAACTGGGGCCAGAGAGGCAGACAGCAGTTAGTTAGAAGAGTGCGACAGCGTACGGTTTGCTCGCGCACACACAGAGACGGGCGAGCACGCGAAACTATATTCTGAGTTGTTTGTTGTTGTTGTTGTTGTTCATGTCGTTGCTGCGGTTGAAGGGGGGGGAGGAAGTTCAGGCTGTCTGATCACGACTTGGCACGTGCGGACCAGCGCCATTCCGTGGACAGCCCGTGAGAAAGAAAGCAGATTCAGTGACTGAGCAGCACTGCTCTCTCGCAAAAGCCGGTGATGCGCGGATACGGCCGCTTGAGATTCTCACCACGTCGATGCAAAGCGTGGCAAGTGCATTTACTGTCGCCGAGAACTGCTTGACATGAGCGCCTTTGTCCCTTATGATAGCCCTCGACACTTTCCGACTGCCTCGTCGTGCATCCCCAATTCTTGCCAGCTGGCAATACCATCTGCCCGTCTCGATGTGCTCGTGCATCAGCGCACAGCGACCAGACAAAGTCGCATCCATGACGTATAGAGCAACGGCCATTCTCCATGTCTCCCTCCAGCGGTTTTCGCGGTGCTCCTGCTCTGGTCTGACGTACTTCAACCAAAGCAGCTGCTTCACCAGCTGTTCGCACCGAAACACGCTCCACATTCATTGAACAATGGACAGCTGAAGAGCACCGCAAGGAAACCCCTCATGCAGCATCTTTGATTGCTCGGCGTAAATTACTTTCGTGTAGGCCGATACGACGGCACCTGCGAATGTGGCATACAACAAAACGACCTTAGCCGTTTTGTACTTCGAATCTGCTCAACCGTTAGCGCCTGCATCGCGCATAATGTTTTGGATGTAGAGCTTATCGTCGCTATCACAAGCGGCCCGTACTCACGACATCGCCAAAACCGTCTAGCGAAGTCACGCCAATTGAAAAGGTTACTATGACCGCCCTGACTCGACAATAGTTGATCACGCACGTGCATTGGCTGTACTTTATTGACCCGCGTTTTCACGAAGTTGTAGATCGTCGATTCTCGTCTCTGGATGAAAGAGGATCGAAAGCAGCTATCAAGTGCAACATTTCTATGATACACACGTACATCTTGCGCTCGACTTCATCGCATCTCCTGCATTTGGCGCGCTTTTGCAGGCGCCCTACCGATTGCGCAAAGCCTACCGGGGCTTTGTACGCCCGCTGTGCTTGGTATCTACCATGACGTTGCGAGCATCGTGTTATGTACGTAGCACACCGGATGGCCAATTGTTTCCATGTCGATAGGATGTGGTCATTTGCCAGTATCATATATTTCGACCGACCACGTACTGAGTTCGATCGATGTGTACTACACATGGCGGAGTCGAGCTATTCGTCCAGCTTGGTCATGTGAGGAACGTTGTCAGTCCACTGCAGGGCTCTTCTACCTTATGCCTCATTGTGTCGACCTTGCGACTGCGAACTTTCGACGAGCAAGAGCTCCTGTCAGCGTTTTTCTTTACATCGACTAGCGCTTTGTCGCCGACGGCACTGTTGTTGTATCGATCGATGCAGCACCCAGTGTAATGCTAAAAGGAGAGCTTGGAAGTTTTGTGTGTACTCAAGGAGTCGCAATGAGTGCCCAGTAGCCGCAAGAAGTGTCCTGCATATCGAGACGTAACCTTTCCAACGAACCGAGGCTGTAGATGGGTCCTGTATGGCTTTTGCATCGTATGAGCACCCTACTTATTCGCTGATGCAGTTGACGCTTGTACATATCTGAGAATGCAGGTTATCTATCATCTAACGATTGGACGCTGAGGCCGTTACGCAGCTCTTGTTGCGAAACACTTTGTGCAGCTTGGTAGTGAAAATACCCGGTGCATATAGCGCTTCGATAACGACGATATGTCTCCTTCACACGCGGTGGCTGCCCGTTTGCAAGTTCAAAACATGGCTCAACGATATGCGATAACTCGCGAACGGACAGGCACGTGCCTAAGTCATTTGGAACAAGCAGAGGCAGAGTGGGCGTAGGCCGCCGTCATTGTGTTTATTCTGTTACGTTGCCTACGCAGAAACGTAGTCTACGAACCGCGACCAGTTCTGTTCTCATGACAGCGAGACAGTCTCGTGAGTCAGTGCCTTGATCAAAATGTGCTCGGGGCCGAAGAATCGAGTTGGATCCAGCTTCGTTCGCCGTGTTTCGTGTCATCAGTTGCCACGATCGTGGTATACTACGTCATGTGACCAGGCTGTGACCAGGCTGTGACTTGGGTTTTGTCGTCGACTCTGACAGGCTTATCGACGTTGTTCGTGACTTTGTTAGCCGTCCGGTAGACCAACATGTGCTGAAAAGCACGACATTGTCTCGCCATGTCGCTTTCGCATCCAAGAAAAGGAGTCGACGAGCGATATAGAGCAGCCACCTTGTCCAACCAGTCTCTGGAGTGACAGATAAGTGAGCATTTTGCTCAGCATTGAGCAGTAGCACCATTGCGGACCGTTTTACGATCTCGGATCGCGAAGCACATAGCAGAGCTGAATATGAGGACTCAGGCCGTCAGATGTTCGACGATACATGATTTCCTTCGTACCATCCATGATCAGGCACGCAGAGTAAACCATTGAAAAGATACAGAGTGAATAACGAGGTTTTGTCAAAACTCCAAGCGTTTGTGTCACCGGATTCGACTCCAAAAACGCCGCGTTATGATCAACAAAGCAATTCCGTGTTCGACGTCGATACCTATGCTTGCATCGTGAATGATACGTTCTGCAGTCCTACGTCATTTCACCAGCCATCGCTGTAAAAGTGTCCACTTGTTAGACGATGGAGGTTCGCAGCGCACCAATGTTCGCGTCTTCGACTGGACGCGTCTTCGACTGGACGCGTCTTCGACTGGACGCGTCATCGACTGGACGCGCCTTCGACTGCAACAACTCGTCGATGACTTGATCTCCCGACAACGTGGCTTCAGCAATGGGTTTGTCACAACCTACGTCCTCCAGAAATCCCAACACATCCGCGCTTAGCGTTTGTGCCGATCGCGAGCTTTGCAGGCCAGTCGCATGGACATATCGAAGAGAGCTCAATGTGCAGCGTAAACGTGTCCCGGTCATTAACACGGCCATCTGAAACTCGGACGCTGGACACGCAATTGACCGCTTTCTCCACGAACTCCTTTACAGTGTAATGAAACTTATTTCCCCCTCCACGAACTCCTTTTCCACAGTGGCACGATGCTCAACGTATGCAGTTGTTGCTTACTGATGAGCGGTGCTGACCTACGCGCACATAGCTTGCTCGTTGAGTACCCGATCATATCGAAGTGTGCATACCGTGCGATTGGGAATAGATTGCGTACGAGGAAGAGCATGTGTCGAATCTACAGTAACCAGCCGTCGTCGCCACTGCCTCAGTAAGCACGTTCGAGCCCCCACCGAATTGCTCGGGAGGTTGCGTACGATCAGTTTCCTTATTGTGCAGTCTAAGATGTCAATTTTCCCCCAAAAACCCCCCAAAAAAATAGCGGTTCACGCAGCATCTCTACATTCTCCACACCTGTCCCCCAACGTGCCAAGCTACCGCAGCTGACGGTTGGCTCGAGGGGTGGTCAATTGGACGCGTCCCCCGTGCATGCATCCATGCAGTCGAGACGAGCATCGCAGCCAAAGGTCCGAGACGTGCTTGTCGTACGTGATCAAGAGAGCTCAGCCCGCCTGCCGGTATCTGCTGAATCTTTGCGTACAAGTCCCAAGCACTGCCACTTGTGTACTTACAGCAAACACGAGACAGCCGACGCAAGTTACTCCCACAGCAAAGCGTACAGTACCCCATCACCCCCCGCCCGCCCACTTCCTATGCACAATAACTCGCCTCGATCCCAATTCCATTGGGTCACTTGCCCACCTTTCGAGAAAATTCCATCGTCAATGACCCAGTGCGGCGTCACCGCAACCAAACAGATTGGGTCAGTGCGTCCACTCGGTAGCTACGGCCCACACGCCCCAACAGCAAATACAGTACCAGGCGCTCGCTCTCTCGACGGCGCCGCAATGGACGCAAAGGCGTGTGGGCCCACCCCCACGTCCCCCACGAGCGCCGCAGTGGACGCCAACTCGTTCGGCCACCACACGCGCCGCGTCACAGGCGACGCGAACGACTACTCGCGATTCAACGGCATTGGCGCCGACTCGGACGACGACACTGACGTTGAACCGTCGGCCGCCGAGTCAGCCGCCGCCGCCGCACAGAGAACGGCGCGCACGTGCCGCAACTGCCGCAAGAGCGGCGCCCGACTCACGTGCAGCGTGTGCAGGAAGGCCGTGTACTGTGCGCGGCAGTGCCAGGCGAGCGACTGGCCGTTCCACAAGCGCATCTGCCAGCGCCCGAAGACAGCGGAGCAGCAGACGGCGGCAGCTCCGGTCAAGACATCTGCTGCTGCTGCTGCATCGACAGTCGGGAGCCGTCGAGCAAAAGGGCAGAGCAGTGGCTCGACAGTTGTGGTGGCCGAAGAGCCCGACCTGCCGGCCCAAGTGCGGGGCTACACGAACGGCGTGCCGTACTTCCATCGGGAGTTGTCCGAGGAAGAGGCGAAGCTGATTGGCGACATTACGCCGCAGAAGATTGAGGCAAAGCCCGTGGCGACGGTGGATGGAGACAAGAGCCAGGCGGTAGTCGTGTGTGGGTGTGCGTGTGGGTGTGTGGGTGTGGAGGTGCTGATGCAACGGGTGATGTGTGCGGTGATGGTGGTGTGGGACTATTGCAGGGGCCGTCGTCGTCGTTGTCGTCGACGCAACGTGGGGGATCCGTGTGGAACAGCGCAGGGACATTTGAAGAGCGTGTGGTGACCAAGTGGGCCGAGAACAAGTGGACCGAGCTTTTTGCAGGCGTGACGTACGTGGAAGGCAGTATGCAGGCGACATTGAAGGCACCGGAGAACCTCACTGGGGACGCGAGTATCTGTGTAGTGCGGGGCAAGAAGCGGTATCTGTTTGACTTTACTTTCAAGCTACCCTTTGAGGTCTCGGTCAGCGGTAGCGGCACTTGCATGGGGTCGTATACAATGAACGACATCTCGAACGACGAAGACTATGAGGTACGACAGAACGTGTCCGATGATTCCACATGTGCTGCGTTTGTAAGTTGAGTTTGTGCTGCTGCTTTGTGATGCGATTCTTCCAGATATCTTGCGCGTTGACTACAAAGCTCAGCCAAGTCAACGAGCAAAGCGCTGTGCAAGCGTTTGTCGCAAAGGCTAACAGCGGCCTACAAAAGGAGCTGTTACGGCTCATTGGTGTGTTTGTGAACGACTTCCAACAACAGTGAAGAGGTGTCGCAAGCGGACGCGAAGAAACGTGTGCGCCAGCCTACTACGTTCGTCTATTTCGTCATAAGGAGCAGAACCCGTGCATTCCTATGTTTGGAAAGCTCGTCAATCTTGCTACGAATCGCACTTGTTTGCACACCGCTTGACAACTTGCTTTTTCTTTATCTAGACACGCACCTTCGAGCTGCTGTTCTTGGTATACCCGAGAATTCGAAACGGTGGTCGACTGCAATCGTGCGTAAAACAGGTAAGCGGTTGAATCGCTCTCCTTGTATGCATAGTGAGGAGCTCGTGCTCGGGACAGTCTGTTCGAGGATGTCCGGTCCTCGGAAAGATGTTTGAACAAATCTTTCTACCACTTGCCTCGAACTGTCACGTCACGAACGAGTCATTAGCGTGAAGAGGAATTAAGACTTTGTGTCGATGTGCAAAGGGTCAGGTGCTGAGAGATCCTACTTTCTTGATGACTTTTGTCCCACTCTGTGAAGCAAACGCGCGGCCTCATCACGTAAAGGTACATATCACTGCATTCCGTTTCTCGGAATGTCGCCCTGTTTGTCCGCATGATACGGGGATACAACAGGGTACTTCAGTTGCATAATCTTGACCTAAAATGCTGGTATCGAATCCGGACCAACTTTGGAATAGACATTATTTGGTTTCGTACTATGTCGTCTCGCTGTTGGGTGGATAAGACCCTGTTGTCAACTAACACGACCACCTATCAAGAGTGGATACTCAGTGAGTTGCAGGCAGCGAAAGTAACATTGGGATTTGTAGTCTTTTGCGTTAGCTTGGTGAAGTCTAAACGCATGGTACAGACCCTCTGACAGGGTAGGCACGCTCCATGACATTGGCGAGAAATCTACGTCAACGAGAATGTTTCTTGGCGCATACTGCTCAACAACATACTTGTAGGGGATGTCCTTGAAGTAGTTCATGACACTGCTCATTGGCCGAAACCGCCATGACACCACCTAACAAATTCACCAACCAAGAAGCAGCGCGCGCGCGAACTGCGCGCAAACCGGCAAAATATGTCTTCGTCATCAGACAGAGTTAACGTAGGCTCGAGAGGGATTGATACGACAACACCACTCAGTGATATACAGTTGGATGTTCCGCTTTTGAAACACGACGTTCTTTTGTATGTATTAACATCCATTCTCTTTTGCACGAAGAACGTGCGTAAGGTTCCGGTGATTACAAGTATTTGTGATAATATCAGTATAGGCCAGTTGCGCAATTGTAACGGGGCACACCCTTGCGTGAACTTAACGCAAGGGCTTGGGTGCCCCAACAGACGTACACAAGGCAAGCGAGGAAGCGTAGGTAAGGTAAAAGCAGAACTGTTATATTAATATAATTAAGTCTTTTAACTACTGTCTCTTTGTTTGACTTAACTTAATTTTGCTAATATAACTGAGTGTATGGTGACGTCTCGTCACCACTCATTGCGCGCGTCTTGCGGCGATTGATGGGTTGATATCATCAATATATCAACCAATGAACAGACTCTTTGGTCGACCTTTCAATATCACCGCTTCGGTGATATTGTTCAAAGAATATTCAACTTCATTTTCTTTATTGTCACTTTCCTTAAAGTGACAATTCCATGTAACGGGCTGCCCCGTTACATCACCCCCCCCTTAACTGATGGTCACCGTGTGACTATCGAAAATAATGGCGGCCACCCGTTGGTCACCATTGGGACAGGGAGCACTTGTTGGGTCCGTTCCATTCACTTTCCGCTCGACCTCGCATAGCTAACATGTCTATGCGGGGTGACTCAAGGCACCCAGAGTCTGTGCCTGTGCCAGCTTCTGCGGCAGACGATTCGGCGTCTGCTGCTCTTTCTTCGCCTGCAGCAAGAGGTGCTGCAGGTGCACGCGGTACCACACCGCGTGCGCATGATGACCTCGACGTAGAGGTCATCTACTCTGGCGAGTCAGACGCGTCTGACTCGGGCAATGCGCCAGAGGCGTCTCGCTCACCGGTGACGCCTCAGTGTTCGCCAAGGCCACTGCCGAACGAACGGAATCGTGATTTGCATCACAGTCTGTTCGGCAGTGATGACGATGATCAGGGCGGTGAGGAATATTATTCCTTACCACCACCGGCTCGTGCCTCTTCGCACGAGCGTGATGACGATGGCGTGAGCCGTCGTCAATCTGGGAGCCGTGGTACCGACAAGGGTACCACTGTGAAGCGTGATGAGTTGAAGCCGTGGCGTTTGCCCGAACAACTCATCAATAGCCTGTCTCGCGAGACAGGCCAACACCATCGAATACCCTTATTTGATGCGACTGAGCTTCACGGCTTGAATCCCAGCGCGAGCAACTTTCGCGCTGAGGAAGACTTTTATCTCAATGTCTTCCTTAGACATCGATGGTACAACAGCAACCAAAAGCGTGACAAAGCCTCGCTTTTTTTTGTTTTTTTTGGCTGCGTGGAACGCGTTCGTCCAAAACGTAAAGAATTTTGGACGAGAAGGGTGGCTCAAGAAAATTTAGGCGACAGGCCTCAAGTTCGAAAAGCAAACGCCAACCGGTGCCAGGTACCGGTTGCACTGTTTGTCGAGTGAGGCAGACATTCCTTGCCTCACATGGGGAGAACCTTGTGCGAGTTGTGTTGACAGCTCGCAGCGTGCACATAGGGACGTGTATTCCCTAAGTTCGCCCTGGGGAAGGGTACACATCTCGGAGGAGATGCGTGACGCGATTGCAAACTTGCAATCCGTCTACAAGCGCCTAAGGCGCGTGTTTACCGATGGGCCCGAGGACTCATCGTATGGGTCTCGTCATACTGGTGGACGAGACCTTCAACATCCATTAACCGCTGAGAGCGAGGCTCTCAGCTGTTCCAAGAGGGTGTATACCCCCGCCACTGGACGAGGTAGCTCGTCCTTGATCCTGAATCGTCACGGTTGATTCAAGATACGCTCCACTAGAAAGCGTTGATCACCGTGAGCATCCACTAAAGGATGTGGTGGAGGAGGAAAGACCTCCTCCAGATGATTCGGTTCACCATCTCGACCCTTACGAGATGGATCGCGCAATCGATGAATTGCGCGATGACTTGAAGCACGAGCGCGACCGGCGCTACGCTTTGACTGATACCGTGCAAAAGAACCGCAATGATCACGAGGCTGATCGGGCAAGAGACCGCACCGATTACGCCACAGCGCAGCTTCAGGTCGAGCGGGATGTCCGCTCCCTTTTCGGCGAGCTGGCGACAGCTCGCGGGGAGATATCTCGGTTGAGTTCCGAGGTATCATATCTGCGCGACCAGACGGATCGTCTGGAGCGCGAGCACAAGAACTTGATGGATGTTCTTGAACGTGGGGGCTATCTTCATCGGAAGAAGAAGGCTCGTACTGACAGTACGGCCTGAGCCCCCCACATAAATCGTAGGATGCGTGCGCATCCTACGTGGCAATTCGATCGTGTATGCATTGCCCTTGCGATGCAACACTCGAAATGGACCAATGTACTTCGGCAGTAGTTTACTACTGCCGACACTAGTGACTGCATGTCCAGGTAAGTTTACCGTAGACAGTAGTACTAGGTCGTTAACCTTATATGAAAGAGCATTTGCTCTTCCATTCTTGTCTGCGTTCCGTTTCTGAAGGTCCACCGCATTTGCGATGGATTCCTGAACGAAACGGACTACCGCTTCTTGAGTCAGCAGGAAGTTCTCTTCTGACTCGTTGTTTTGTCTTTCAGTGCGCTTCGTGCGCACTGCTAAGAGATTGTTCTCTTCTTCAGCGAGGTTGTCTTCTTCCTCGCTGTCATAATCGTTGACGATGCTGAATATACCAGCATCGTCATCATCATCCGAGTCGGTAATAGCGTCGCCGCTATTTCTGAGGTGATTTTCTTCATCGATGTCGACTTGATCGACATCGGCATCATACGTGACGACGTTAGCGTCGACACGTGATGAGCAAGAGCCAAAACGGTTTTTGCTCGAGCGAGTCCCTCCCCCTTATGCAAGAGTCACACTCTAGAAGGGTGAACACACGGGGATGGCGTAGGCCATTCACGTAAAACGGTGTGTGCTGTGTGGAAGCATGCACCGAATTATTGATGGCGAATTCCACCATGGGTAGGAATTCGCTCCAAACTCGGAAACGAGTGGACATATCCTCGAAGGATCTCTTCGAGGACACGGTTCGCACGTTCCGTCTGACCATCTGTTTCGGGATGGTCAGAAGTAGACATCTTCAAATCGTGTTCCAAGAGAACGGAACACGGTTTGCCAAAATGCCGCCATGAACCGAGGGTCACGGTCGGATACGAGTTCACGGGGTAACCCGTGGAGTCTAAAGATCGTGTCTAGAAAGACACGAGCACAACCTTGAGCCTTGATCGACTCAGGGACTGCAGCAAGATGCACCATCTTGCTGAATCGGTCAACAAACACAAGAATACCATTATTCTTGTGAGCGTCTTCGGAAAACTCGAAGACGAAGTCCATTGAAATGGACTGCCAACACTCTGTCGGGACCGGCAGAGGTTGTAACCGTGCACGGGATGGAGGACTAGGCTTCACCCGTTGACAAACCTCGCAAGCACGTATGTACTTGCGGACAAACTGATACTGGCGTGGCCAGTAAAAGTCACGACTTACCGTAAGGTAAGTCTTTTCTCTACCACGATAACCGCCTGTTGGGGCATCGTGACACTCATACATGATGCGTAAACGCAAATCATCATGAGCGGGGACGACGACACGAGGCGTGTCGTCGGCAACAGCTGTATAATACAGCAACCCGTTGCGTGTCGTATTCCGATCCGATGAGGATCGGTACAAAGCCGGTAAATCCCTCATGGATATACTGGATGGATGAACCAGATGATCCATGAATGGCAGAAGATCCTTATCTTCCGCGTATGCCTTTCGTACGTCGTCAAGTAAACTTGACGACGGGACACTGACTGACAGTGTCGCAACAGTGGGCTTATCCTCACTGTTGAATTAGGCGTCCGGCTCGAAT